AGAGAGGGTGTTGTGGTTTAACCCAGCCAGCAGCTCAGCACCATGCAGCTGCTTACTCACTCCACCTCAGCCAGTGGGATGGGGGAGAGAATCGGGGAAAAAAACCCCCAAAAATCGTGGATTGAGGTGAGAACAGCTTAATAGAGCAGAAAGGAAGAAAATAACAATAATAATAGTAGAATCGGAATATACAAAACAAGTGATGCACAGTGCAATTGCTCACCAGTCACTGACCGATGCCCAGTTAGTTCCTGAGCAGTGATCCACCCGCCCAGGCCAACTGCCCCCAGTTTATATACTGGGCATGACATCACATGGTATGGAATACTTATTTGGCCAGTTTGGGTCAGCTGCCCTGGCTGTGTCCCCTCCCAACTTCTTGTGTCCCTCCAGCTTTCTTGCTGGCTGGGCGTGAGAAGCTGAAAAATCCTTGACTTAGTCTAAACACTACTTAGCAAGAACTGCAAACATCAGTGTGTTATCAACATTCTTCTCATACTAAATTCAGAACATAACACTATACCAGCTACTAGAAAGAAAATTAACTCTGTCCCAGCTGAGACCAGGACAGTGTCCACCCCTTATTCTATACTGTTTACATCATGCTCAGGTCCCGTACCTTCCAATACATCCTAATTAATCACCATTACCTTTCCTGTTGAGAGATATCATTCCCTTAGTCTACAGGCCATCTCTATAAAATGTCTGTTGAGTTCATTTATTCCCCAACTTTGGGCTTCATCTGTCATACCAGTCTTTGTGGGCAGGAGGGATGGTGCAAAGTCCACTCAGCCGTTGGCAGATCAGGGTTGGGCTTTGGTGTGGTGCGGCGGGCTGGTGACATTGGGCGCAGCAGGAGGATGGTGTGCAATGTTGGATTGTTGCATGCTGAAGTCAGTTTGGTTCCATCACTACTGCACTTTGCTCAATTTTATCAAAGTTCATTCTTGCTTGATCTAAGTGATTCTTAACTGTAATGCCACTGATAGAGCATATAACAATTATAGTAATGATGACATACAGTGGCAGGGTTATATAGCAATTAACATCATACAATTCAATTCATTGGCTAGTCTCACCTAAAATCAAACCCCCTTGAGGCACACATTGGACTTCCCCATCCTTCTGCATCATCCACCAAGAGCACCCAGGTCCTTGAACAAAAGCAATCCCTTGAATGGGTTTACCTTTGCCTGAGGCAGGGGTAACCCAGATCGTCTTCCCTAACTTATTTTTTATGTGCACTACAGGGACTACCTTTTCCAGGAGTCAAGTGAGGATAATGGTCTTTGGGGAATTCCACCTATTTTTCATTCACTTAAGATGAAGCATCAGCAATGTGCTTGGTCACTGCTGTAAGACTAGTCAGGATGTCACTGCACCAGAAAAAGCAGTGTAGAGGATCACAGACACACCCCAAACAAAGCTTCTTCTGAAGAGGAAGGTGAGAGTCTAGCCTTAAAAGTCCAGACCATTGTTTCCTTAGTCTTGGCATCACTTTATCTTTCAACTGTCATTTCCAGCATTTCTTTTGAAAAGGTCATTCATGAGACTCAGCTGATTAAGGCTTCATTGCACCCTCTTTGTTGTACAACACTTGACTGGATGTCGGAAGAGGATTTGAGCATACGACTTCCCCAGGGGAGGAATGCAGTTTAACTGTTTGGCCTCTACTCCCTTCAATTTCAGATGTAGATAGGGCCAGGTGATGAGGAAACTAATGTCTTAGATGTGCTCAAATATATTTGCATTTTTGTGGGTCTGAGTAGAGTCCTCAATGTTTCACTGCAGATGGGTTTCAGAGTCATTAAGGGCTGTACAGCACAAATATAGATGACACTTAAAACCTTGCTTTAATGTTACTTTGTACTTCTGTTTTGAATTCTTTCATGAACTAGCCTTTTGATCACAGAAATCACAAAACTGTCTTTTGTATTTCTTCAATTATTAATATTGATGGAGAACCTAACAGTTTTAGTTTGAGAGAGAAATTCTTAGTATCTGTTCTCTTATTTTCCTGTCCCAGGAAGGTAGTTTTAAATGCTAGTGCCATGTCTCTTCTGCTTACCTGAAGAGACTGGTTTTGATGTGTGTCTTTCAACACCGCAGTGGCTGAGAAAGTGGCTTTCGTGGTCCTATTTGTTAAGGAGCATCTACTTCTGAGGCTGTTTGTTTTTTAACATTTTTGGGGCATAAGTTAGCAGGCCCAGTATTACCATGTCCTGAACAGATTGCAGCATTTTGTTTGTCTATTCTGAGAAAAGTCTCTATTTTGCTTAATTAACATCTTGGGTAAAATGATGTTACAAACTTTGGATTTAGGAGAAAGTACATTAACTTGTAGCATGGTCTGTAGCATCAGGTATTGGTTACTGTTGAACACAGGATATTGGACCTCTGTCCTTTATGTTTTTAGTATCCGAAATGGAAGATGTTTTTTTCCTCGTTTTGGAGTACTGTTGCTAAAACTGTTGTGGTTTAGCCCTAGCTGGCAACTAAGCCCCGCACTGCCACTCGCTCACTCCCCACCAGCGGGATGGGGGAGAGAATCGGAAGAGTAAAAGTGAGAAAACTTATGCGCTGAGATAAAGACAGTTTAATAGGTAAAGCAAAACAAGGAATTAATTCCCTGCTTCCCACTGGCAGGCAGGTTTTCAGCTATCTCCAGGAAAACGGCTCCATCACGCATAGCGGTGACTTGGGAAGACAAACGCCACCACTCCGAACGTCCACCCCCTTCCTTCTTCTTCCCCCAGCTTTCTATGCTGAGCATGACATCCTGTGGTCTGGGATATCCCTTGGGTCAGTTTGGGTCAGCTGTCCCAGCTGTGTCCCCCCCCAGCTTCTTGTGCCACCCCAGCCTCCTCACTGGTGGGGTGGGGTGGGATGAGGAGCAGAAAAGGCCTTGACTCTGTGTGAGCACTGCTCAGCAACAACTAAAAGAGCTGCGTGTTATCAACATTATTCTCATCCTAAATCCAAAACACAACACTGTACCAGCAACTGTGAAAAAAATTAACTCTATCCCAGCTGAAACTAGCACACTCCTGAACAGATCCCCAGGGAGAGTCCTAATCCACTGAATTAAGGCGCAGTTTGCAAACCAACATGCTTATTTTTAAAATGTGCTCTACTTATATATTCGTACTTGTTATGGGTGGCTTTGATACTGTTCTATCTCCAGCTACTTTCCAAACTAATGTGCTGAGAGGTTTTTTTGCCCTCCAGTAATGAGAGTTCCAGAGAACAGCAAAACTGAAAGGCAAGAGAATACTTTGTGGATGTTTGCTTATTAGTCTATTTTGAAACTGTCTTGAACAAATTTGGCCTGACATGCAGTTACTGTTTAAACATGATTTAATTTGTTGAGGGAGGAGGGATATTGGGTAAGGAGTCTTGGATGAGAGGCCAGAGTTCCGGGATTGTTGTCTGGTGGGAATCTTTTCTTTATTATTGCTTCCTATGTTTTTGTAATGGAGAAGAGATATGATTAATGCTTCTGTAGCTACTATTTCTCCTTGGCCTGACTTCAGTTTGTACTTAATTAAAATCAAATAATTGCTAATAGAACTTAAAAAGAATGCTTAACATACAGATAGTAACAAGTTACAGGAATTAAGCTGTAAAATCTGACTCTCCTGCAGATTGTACATGGTTCACCTCTCTCAAGCTGTAGCTGTGTGTAATTTTTATTTTTGGAGTTGCAGTTCTCAAGCTTCAGAACTTCAATGCTTAGAGATGAGAAACATGAGAGAGGCACCTCCATTTACTTGGAAAAACTTTTGTTTGGAGATTTGAAAACAAAACCTGTGATGGAGTTAGTGTTGGTGAGACAAGAACCTCAACACTGCAGAAATACAGCATGCAAGTTCAGAAACAACTAGGAATGTCTGCAAGCCCTATTATAGTTACGCTTAGTGAAAATCTGCTAGTAAAACACATTCAAACCTAATGTATTGCTACAAGAAGAATGAAAACAGCAGGTTATCCAGTTTCGGGAGACAGCAGATTGACGAGGGAGTGCAGTGAGGACTTCTTGGGATCCTTGTGACTGTGCTGATTCTGCGTTTTTGGAGTGCAGGCAGAACTGGGCAGATGAGGCACCTTGCTTTGAGTATGCTACAAGAACGCATTTCCAGAACACTGTGGTATTTCATTTTTCGTTAGGGTGAGCATCACTTTGTCTTATTCTACCTGTATTTCTACATTCTTTTACTACCTTATAGGATTGAGTTCTCAGTGGTTTCAGCTGAAATAAAAGATGGCAGTTTTCACTGCCGTTGTGCTTTTTTTTTTATGCTTGTATGTAGATGGTTTCAGTTTCTGTGTATGATTTTACATGTTCTGGTTAAAGTTGTTTCAATATAAGGTCTTGCCTTTAACATCTGGGAAATGGAAATTTTCTAGCCACAGAATTCAAATGTTGTCACACCCTTTGAATACTTTAAGGGTACAGTAGTTTACCCATGAGAGTGGTCATGGGAGTGTCCCTCCTGAAAACTGTTTTGCTGTCTTCAGATCAATTCCACAGTGCCTTGACATCCAAGTTGTATCTGTTTTGAATTCTCTACATAATGGTTTCACTTAAAATTCATGCCTCATGAACATTTGGGGAGGGTTTTAATACTTTGGCTTATTGCTCATAAAATAGCTCTAATTGTAAATAAATCCAAACTATGTTGTCATTAAGAACTGAAATACCACATTTTAAAAAATGCTGTTCAAAGAGTGTCATCACTAGGTGTGTTATCTGTGACATTGAACTTGTTGAGTAAAGCTCATTTACTTAGTTATCTGTTATCTATTCACTGCATATTAAGATTTTATGCAGTGAAAGAAAATGCTTTTGTGCAACAAAATTCTGAATTCAAAAGTACCACTTAAACTGTCACTAAAATACTGTTTTGTGACTTCAGTTGTTTTTCTCACTGGTTATAGAATCCACTGCGTAAAGTAGGTGAAAAGATAAAATAATCTAATACTTGTCTTTTAACTTTCAGCTTTGTGTTATTCTTGGAAAGTTTCGCACCACTTGTGAATTCCTTGAACCTTGGCATTGCAAGCCCACTTCTGTTGGGCCCTCCTCCTTTACAGCTTGCACAAATTAAGACACAGTTGGCTCTTCAGCAATTGACCTCAGTTGCTACCAACAGTTCTGCACCTCCTTATGCTTGGTTAAATCAGGCATTTCTGAAAAGCACAATGTTTAGCCCTAGAGGAACTTTACCTCAGAGGCCGAGAGGACCTAACCCATCTGGCACAAAGCCTCCAGGATCCTTTAGGGGAGGAGGTGCAGCAGGTCTTCAGAGAAAGCCTGCACCTGGAACACCTCAAGGAATGTCACAAAGATTTTCAGGACAGGAAACGTTTCAGTGGACGGGTTCACAGAGGATAAACGTTCGGGTAACTCTGCACAGGCCTGATCCGAGGAAGGTAAAAGAGAAGACAAACCTACACCAGGAACAGAAGGGAGAGCCTCGCACAAGTCACTGGGATAGTAGCCCGTGCACAGCTGGGACAACTGGTCAAAAGCCATCTGCTTCGGCACAGATCTCAGAGCAGAATTCAAATGCCCAGAACCGCTACACACCAGAAAGCGCTTCCAGTATCTTAGCGAGTTTTGGGCTGTCTAATGAAGATTTGGAGGAACTCAGTCGCTATCCAGATGATCAGTTAACGCCTGAAAACATGCCGCTAATCTTGAGAGAGATACGGATTCGTAAGATGGGTCAATCTCTGTCTGGTTTACATACTCAGAGCCGAGGAGAAGAAACGATTGGTGGTACGAGTAGTGCAGCAGTCAAGAGTAAAGTGATTGATTATGGGCATGCAAGCAAATACGGTTACACTGAAGATCCTCTTGAAGTGCATGCTTATAATCCTGAAGTGCTGACTGAAGATCCTCTCAAAGCACGTGTCTATAATCCTGAAGCATCGAGTGGAGAGAACAGGGAAGACTTCCAACGAGAGCAGAATATGTCAATGAGTGTCCCGCCGTCTAGCGTGACGTGTAATCCAGTGTTTCCAGTTGAAGATACAATAAAACCGACGGGGTTCCAGAATGATTCCTCAAATACTCAGTCGTTTTTTCCAGCTGAGACTACGGGAAAGGTGTCCGGATTGTGTGTAACACCCACTGGACTCCCTGTGGTGAAACCTGTATCCCAGCCTGCAATACAGCCTGCAATACCGCCTGTCCTGCCACTTATGATGCCACCTATAATGCCACCCTTGGCACAGCCCATAATGCCACCTGTCATGCCACCTCTTGTCCAGCAGTCTATCACCCAGCACGTAATGCCACCGATGACCCACCCACCCTTTTCAGCTGGACTTCTTGCAGCTATAAGCCGTCATGAAAGAGCTCAGCATGAATCTGGGACGAGCCAGTCTAATGCCCAGAGCAGCTCGGGAGCAGGACAGAAGACCTTCCAGACACAGGCTGAGGGGCCAATTAAATCTCCTTTTGGTATTGTGAAAGCATCATGGCTTCCAGTGTTTCCGCAGTCTGATGCCCAGAAGATAAAAAGATTGCCCACTCCATCAATGATGAATGACTACTATGCTACATCTCCAAGAATATTTCCACATATGTGTTCTCTGTGTAACATTGAATGCACTCATATGAAGGTGAGTGTCTTTCAAAGATTATTGCATAAACTTGTACTCGGCATCTTACCTGCTGCACTGTTTATGAACTAATTTTTTACTGCGCATTAAATGAATTGTGATGCTGTTCGCCAGTTTGAGTGCTTACATGCAAATTTCAAAATACTAGAAACTGTGCTAGTAAATTATTGTAACTGCTGCACAGCGTGTTCTGTTCCAAATTGCATTTCAAAGTTGCCATGCACATTGATTTTTTTAAATATTTTTTTAATATTAAAAATTATTTATGTCTTCTGCAGTGGGTTTCAAATGACAAAACAAAGCCTTTATCAGTGGAGTAAAATACTAATGTAATCTGGGTGACTAAAATGTGTGCAAAAATTGTGTGCTGAATCTCGGTAGGGTAGATGAGATGTTCATGTATTCAGCCCTGCAAAGTCTGCATTAAAACAAAGCAGCCTATTTATCTGTGAAAATTTAATCTTTCAAACATGGTCTGTGTGACATTGACTGTTCCAGAGACTGAAGACTAGCTCTGAGGGACACACAAAATGCTTTCTTTCATCTGACTGAGCTTTCAGCTATGAAGCAAATAACAGTTTCAGCTCTTGAAGGAAGAAAAGGAAGGAACTGGGGAATACTGGGAGAGAGAAAAGCATTCTGAAAGCTGTGGATTTTTCTTGAAAGACCTAGGCTTAATATGTCAAAACCACAGGTGAATGTAATTTAAAAAATTGAATAATTTGTTATTAGTTTCATGTGTTTAAATTTTAAATAGTCCTCAACAAATGTGTGGAAAGCCCGTGGGGGAGTGCTTTTTTTGCAATTTGGCAGAATCATGCAAGATTGCTAGGCATTATTTGTGCTGTGTATTAAAAAAGCTGAATGAATAGTGAAGATGGTGACAGCTGCATTAGGGGCTTCAGAGTAAAAATAAATTTTCAAGTACTTTTACACTGGAAGCACTGAAGGCCAGGGAGAGGTGCAGCTGTTTGGGCAGACTTGAAAATTTAAAGGGAAGTCTGATTTAAAATAAAAATGTGTAAAATTGAACAGGGCAACAAATTTTGGTTTGTGTTAATAAATGGATGAAGCATTTTGGAAAAGTGTAATCTGTTTAAGTGTGACTTATTCAGTAGCCTGCTTACTGGTGCTTTCTAAAATGAAGCAAATGTTATTACTAAAAATACTTCTTGACAAATTAGCTATGAAGTTTTCTGGGGAGATTAAAGGTTGTAACTTCTTGTCCTAATGGCACTACAGTGTAGCATGTGTTCTCCAGTCATCCTGATCTGACTGCAGCTACACAACCTTTTCTCCCTGTCATGGCTGCTTCTAGCTCTGGCATATATTAACTTTATTTTGTATAGTGTTTTTTTTTCTTTATGTACACCTGCTGCTGCGTAGGCAGCTCAGACTATTTTGAGATCTCCTTGGGCAAGTCATGTTTAGACAACAGTGTTGCAAAATAACCGGAAGAGTCAGGTTTTTTTTCTTACTGCAAAAAATAAAAGTTTGTTCAAGAAATGTTAGTCTTGTGTATTTGTGAATTCTAAAGCATGAAGAATTCCTTTCAGTTTTACAGTTTGGTTTTACAAATAACGTTGTTTTCTTTGTCTCAGTTGCATGGTTAAAGATGACCTAGGCATTCAGTTTTTTGTCTTTAAAGTTGTGCTAAGTGTTACAGAGGAAGCATATGAAATGGCACCTTCAAACTGAAAGAGAAGTGATGGGGAAATGGTATAGTAGAAATGGATAGTCATGTGCGGTATGACTTGCACCAGGGAATGGGTGTTTCATACAGAGCATAGATTGTTTGCCACAATGTTGTGAAATCTTAGTTGAAAAATAACTGAAAAAGTTCATGGAAGAAAATCCTTCAGAGACTGTGGGAAAGACCGTCTGATGGCTCAAGAAGTCCTTGATGAGCACATAGCTGGAGGCTGGAGGTGTATTCTGGGGAAGAAGCTCTGTTTTGTTATTTACCTCCCTAGCCACCCTCTGTTGCATGCCACGGCAGAAGAGATGCTAGGTAAGCTAGATGGACCTTTGTCTCCCCAGCACACCTGTAAGATGAACTCGATCTTCAGAGCTGTTTTTAGGTCAACGTGATTAGACATGATGATTTCTGGTGTGTAGTACCAAGTTGTAACAAGCAGTTTAAGAATGCTGTGTTACAAAGAGATGTCTTTGTAATGTGGCAAATTGGAAAGAAAATAGGCAAGCAAAGCAGATAACGTGAAACAAGAATGGATGAAGATGATGAAAGAGACCGAATGAGGAAAACCTTCTCTTTATCCAATGCTTTTGAAGATACTGGATATCTGAAAAACAAAGTTTCAATAATGTTAAAATGGTGGATTTCAAGTTCAGATTATTCATGGCGGGGAGCTGTCTTTTTAAGAGATTTTTTTAATCCAGTCTTGTACTGAAGTAGAAGCTCATCTAGGATTCATTTTGTTGAAGCAGAATCTGCATTGCCTATTGGAAGAGAATTCAAGTGTGTTATCTAGCATTAGTTTATTAAAATGGCAAGATTATGGCTGGATGTGAGACACAACTCCTGCTCCTGGAGAGTCAGTCTGCCTTTGAAGCTACAGTTGCTGTTAGTGGCTAAAACTTTGTATTTGTATCATCTGAACTGCATCCCCCTTGTTCTTTCAATTTGGCTGTCCCATAAACACAGTGAAACCTTTGCTGAGTTTTGGCTTGGAGTGAGAAATGCTTCTGCTGTTCCCCTAAGCATCCGATCAGTTCTCCCCATAGATCTCTCTTCTTAAGTATCTAACTTGCTTAATTAATGAGGTCTGATGAAATCAAAGCTGAAGATGGCCTTGAGATGTCTGCAATATACCAAAAGTTCTGTTTTGTCATACAGCTAAGCAAGTAAATGTATTTTCTAGTTCTGTAATCTGAAAAGAATCCTGAACACCTCTTCTACACAACTATTTATATATATTTGAAGGTTGTGTTTTTGCTAATACACTGTTCAGAAGTCAAGAGTTAAAATATCTTCCATCTGCATGGCATAGCTATTGTAGATCTGTCCATGAAAAAAATATTTTTTTTTAAGCTTTGAAACTTTTCTCTAAGGCATATGGATAATCCTCATGTGCAGTGATACATGGCAGGTCAGCAGCTGCATGATAAGCTGCCTAGAGTCCAGGGCTGAATGTGAAGAATACTTCAGCTGTTTCATGCAATAGACTTTGGAAAGACTGTTCAGCATTTCTTTTCCTACCAAAACTGTTCACTGGATCTTTAGCAATAGGTGGTGGGATCCTCAATTATTTGACGATGCCTTCAGCCACCTCAGTTGGGTCTTGCTGAGATACTTGTTCAGAGGTGAACTGGGAGAAGTCCTGCCTTTTGAATCAACGGTGCAACTTCATACTTGGCTATCTGTGGTCCTTCAGTGAGGTATCAGCTCTCTAACAGACTATTTAGCTTTCTAAAATACTGTGGGTTTGTGCTAAATTAGGATTACCATGGACTTGAAAGCTAGTTGTTACTGGAGTGGCATCAGAAATGTGTAAGATTTTTCCTTGTTTTTATCTTGTGTTAGGAAGGTTTTTGTGGTGTTGTTGGAGATGGCTGTACACAATACTGTGTTATAAGAAAAGGTATACTCAAGAAAGGTGGGCTTTTTGAGCTTTAAAACATTAATTTGGAAAATTAATTGACGCTAAGGTGACTTGCTGATCTAGAAGGTGTTCGCAAAAATTTGCACGTTTGTGTCCTGCAACATTTTTTCATGGAGGAGTGCCCTTTTTTGCCCTTGGTTAGATGGAATCCTCCCTCAGTGTTGTCGTCTTTCAAATACATTTACAAAACCCCCAACATATTGAAACATTTTATGAATGCTTCACAGAGCAGCTTCATTTCAACTTGAAACAGTGCATGTATTGGAATAATAAAGTGTGATTTCTCTGTCTTCAAACACATGTCACTTTTGGAACAAAGTAGATTTGCAATATTGCCAGCATGAGGGATCGTATTTACCGTGTATTACAGTTTTTGTTTGCTAGCTTAAATAGATTTAAAGTGAGGGTGATTTCTTCTTCTTGGGCTTTAAATTGTTGGAAGTCATGGAGACTCATTGCACTTACGATTCCTTTGCTGAAGTAAGGGGACAAAATGGGGTGTACTCCATTTTATTCCTAGTTTTTCTACAGAATACCTTGCTGTGAAACTAGCACAAGCAAGTGCAGGTACTATCCCTGTGTATTACTATCTTACTGTTGGCAGAAGACGTGAGTTTGGGGACTGGAGACACTACGCTCTGCCAGCTTCTGCTTCAGGACCTTTTTGGTGATGATCCACAAGTAAGAGGAGATTTACCAGTGGCACAGAATTCGATAAATTGGATGTCGGGTTGTGCAGCAGCAGTGCTGCTGCTCTAAGAATCTGGCTGCAAGTTCTTACTCTTAGCAGGATGTGATGGAGTGCTTGTGCTGGGAAGGGATCCTGTCCTTTGCGGGGAAGGATCTGCCTCTGGGGTCAGACTTGCCAGAGGGAGTGGAATGTTTCTGAAGACGGAGAAGGGCAAGGAATTAATCAAAGAGGAGGAATATACATAAATTGAGAGTCCTGTAATTCTATGAAATGCAAGAGGGCATTGGCATAATGAAGACTTGAAGAAGAGAAGAACGTTGTGTTTGTTAGGGAGGAGAATATCTCTTTGTAGGCCTGCCAGTCTCGTTAATGCTTGTTGGACGGGTAGCTAAAGTCACTTGGAAGCAAAATGGCCTCCCTCGGCCCTTGCAGACACTGTGTGCACTTTCTTCGTTTGGGACCACGAAGTGGGATACTTGAAGCCCAATTTCCTTTCATTTTTCACAAGCTAATTTGTTTTAGCCCTTGAAGAATAGTTTTTATTTTTCCTGTCTAACTTTAAGACTCCAGAAAAATTGCATTCTTAAGAATGGGATTGCATAGTAATGGCGTGTTATTAGGAAAAAAAGTGTATAACCGTGAATTGCTTGCTCTTGTGTGCATGCTGTGTATTCACTGTGCATGCAGTTCTACAGCTGCAACTTGTTTTATCAGTCTGCTCTTCCACTCTTAATATGCTCTGGTTCATTTAGTGAGACTAATGCAGAGGGTCTTCTGAGTAATATTTTTCTGACTTTAGTTGAACAGTTAGAATGTTTTTATGAACACAGCTAGTAAAATCTGTCAGTGCCTCTCTGAGATTGGTTAAGCAGTATATCTGTTTCTTCAGGAAATTATAATAAGTCTTGTGCTTAAAATGTATTTTATTTTATTTAAAACCCATGTTTTTTTATGTGGAGTATAAATAGTTTGGGTAGCTGTCTTGTAGCACATTTTAGTGTTGATAGTGTAAGTGCAAGGAACAGCTGTTTTCACCACGTTCTCTGGGCTGCCAGAATGCACAAAACTAACTGTGCCCTGGTCACATTAATTTTTCCACCTCATAGGCTTTGAGTAAACCATCACGAACTTTTCTTTTAACCAGCGTGTTCAGCATTTTTGTCAATAAACAAGAAGGTTTGATACTGCCAACTATGCATTTTATAATCTTTTGTGTTATAAACCAGCATGCGCTTAGGAAAAGTGATATGTAATTTCACAACTGCAAATTATTTTATGAACCCTTGCCTGTGAGTTGCATTATTCAGCCATTATTATCTATTTTAAAATACTAAACCAACTAGAAGTTGTTTTTTTAAGGATGCTTAATAATGATCGTTGATGACATGTGATACCTTATAGCTACAGCCCATGTAATATTTCTCCTCAATAGCAAACTGACTACAGCAGTTGTTTTCACTAGGAGGTCAGTTTACTTTCATAATAATAATACTAGAATAAAGTCTTCAGGCATAGTTTCCCCTGCTTGGGACTGATTCTGTGTTTACAGTTAAACCTGTGCTTAAGTAATTTTCAAGATTGAGAGCTTGCATTGTACTTCTGGATTTGTCTCATGCTTAACCCATCAGTTATTCCTAGGTAAAACTTTAGTTAAGGTTTTTTTTTTTAAATATAAAAAAAAATAATCAATGTTTGTGTGTGAAAAATGTCATCAGACTTTTTGACTGACCTTTAGGTGTAACATTATTAGGAGTGAACATACTTGAGCTTAAGGCATCAAAAGTCATGCCTCTGTAGAAACGATATTTGACTTAAAGATACCATGTTGTGTCGGGTTCTCCGATTTATTTAGCTTAATTTGCTGTGTATGTGTTCATCAGTCTGACAATCTGTGAAGACTGCTAATAGTTTTCTTTCTTTTAATATAGCCAGCTATTGGATCAACATTTTGCATTAGAAGCGTGGTGACAACAACCCAGTGTGTTGCTGGAAGTAACAGATTCATTTTTTACAATGCATTTTGTTCAACTTCCACTTAGATTTCTCTGTGTTCTTTAACAGCGTTTGATAATCAAAAAGTATTTTAGTCTTTTGCATAAAGAGTAATAATTTTAAGTGAGAAATTTGACCTTGACGCAAGATCATTTGTTAGGCAAAATTTGATGGGAAGGTAAAATATGACAACATGTAACCAGAAATTGTGGCCAAATGCTAATGTTTTACTTGCTAATCAAACTTCTCTGGATGTCTTTTCTCCAATTAGGACTGGATTCTGCATCAGAACACTCCTTCTCACATTGAAAGCTGCCGCCAGTTACGTCAACAGTAAGGAATCTGTTTAAAAAGTTCACTTAGTGTAAAAAGTGTTTTCTGTGCATGCCTGTTGTGTGAAAGTGTGTCACATTTCCTTAATGAGGATTGTTGGTATCTGAGTGCTATTCTAAATTGGCTTTAGACCATTAGGGTAAAAGATGAACTGACACTTGGTGCTTCTGGAGTCCTGAACAGGAACGTTTATCTGTAAAAGCTACTGCACGTAAGCAAAAATTGTGCTCAGATGGCAAATTTAGCTTTTTCACTGACGGTTGTATTTTTAACATTTAACAGATACCCCGATTGGAACCCTGAGTCTCATTCCTCAAAGAGGTAACTGCTTTTTGATTACAGGTTGTTTTTAATTTATTGCTATTATAAACGTGGTTATTAATGCAATTAATTTTCTTGTTTTGCTCACTGGCAAGCTGTGTTAGTGGTGTCATATTTTCATTATAAAATTGTGTGGGGTGCTTTTGTGGGTTTTGTCCTAAGTTTGTTTAATAATATAAGTGGCATAGTATCTAAAATTCTTTCACAAGGGGGAGAGTAAACTCTGTAGAACTGTCTGAAGACTGATACTGTCAGCAGCCTCGTCTTGAACCTTTGTTCTAACTGTGCTTCAGTTAGTCGTAAGTTATTGGATGTGATACAGTATTAACCGAGCGACACTGACCAGTGTTAGGTCACTGATTAAACTGCGCAAGTGATTTCTGACTTTTAGACTTAATCTTTTTTCCAATTAAGCCACTCTTGTTTGCAACTTGAACCTGTTTGACAACAGGCGTGCTAGTGTTAGCTCTTATTTCACAGACTCTTCAGTCCATAGATCCCTTGGGGAGCTACGGGATCACAAGTTGAAAAAACACTGGAATTCATGAACTCATGTCTCTTCTGTCCTTTAAAATTATGCTGTTTACTCTTAATTTTTTGTAAAAACACACCCTGTGGACTAATTCTACTTGAATCTCAGCAAGATTGGATTATTTTACTGATTCAATATTTGTAAGTATTTCGACTTGCATACAAATAGGAATAATAGGACTTCAATTTTTTTCTGGATTTTCCTGTGACTTTGCATTAATTAGTTAGACATACTTCCTGGGAAGCTAACTATTCAGGTTTTTTTTTTTTGGGTGGTGGGGGAAGTGTTACAAAGCTGAATATGTAGGTCAGGTTAATTTGCAGAGTGCGTCTGAGGTCTCTCCATGTTATAAACAAGGAGAAATAAAACCTTAAAGAGAAAAATAAAGCAAATAAACTTCTGTGAGGAGAATAATTGTATTTTAAAACCTCAAACTAAAACTGCTGTCCAGTGTTGCTGATGTTATATACAACTGAGGCAAAGGAAACTGGTCTTAGCTGGAGGACCTTATATAAATTGGAGAAGTGTTTAATAGCACTTTTTGTGGATGAGAGATCTTCTGTGCTTGCAGGTGGGGCAAGAGCTGTTTTTTAGGGTGGTGCTTTCTTAAATCCTTCCTGATGACAGCATGTCTCCAGCTGGGAGAGTTAGAATACAGCTGTAGGCTCTTGGTGATCACAGATGTGCAGAGCTGCTGGGTGCAGTCTCGGGGCAAGGTCGATGAGCTTGCTATGTACTGTTATCACTCTGGTAAATCACTTCACAGTCTCTGCTTTTTATAAATTGCACTGGTTTGTTAAGACATTCAAGCATATACTCTATGCATTTTCCAGGTTTTCCCTTTTACTCCTGTGATCTGTCCTGTCAGGGTTTTCCTATGCCTGACTACTTTCCATGTCTCTAAGAGGGACTATTGCTCTCATGGATTTCTTCTCCATTATTTCTTTCTGTGCTCTTCATCAATGTGACATCTCTAGGTAGCATAAGTAAGCAGTGGATGTATATTTATGTAGTCCTCTCAAATCTTTCTTTCAGTCTCAGCCAATCTTTCAGACATAATGTCTCAAGGTTGCTTACTTCCAAACTAAATTTGGAAGAAGCAAGGAAAGTATCCTAATTCATTACTCTTACATGTATCCTTTCCCTCTTCCTATTATTTTTTCATAGCACTGCAGCTTGTAACTTCAGAGTTTTCTTTGCAGCTTTGTCTTGTTCCATGCAGGTTATTCTCTCCTACTTGCTTCTTTTCAGTTCTGTCTATCTATCCTAAATTCATATAGAAACGTGTTACCAGTATGTAAAGTATGTTTGTGAACAAATTAGGCTCTAAACTTTGTCAGTTTTGGTTCTTTTTTGCAGAAAGTCTGTTTCAGCAGACTCGGGCTAACTATTTTTTTCCACCTTGTCAAAACTCATATGCCTTTATTCTCTTAGAAATGCTGGTGACAGAAAAGAAAACCAGACCCCAAAGCGTCGTTCCAACTCTGCCAGTCCCAGTCCTAGACGTTCGAGGGTCACAGGCTCCAGCTATGCTCTTCGCCGATCACGATCGAGATCCAGGAGCCCTGGCCGCTTCAGGCCAACAAGGCCAAGAAGTCGAAGCCCGCGGCAGATGCGACGACTTAGCCCCAGACACAGGTCAAGGTCACCGCAGCGATCGAGAAATCCACTGAGAACTAGTCCACGACCTCAGAGATCTTCCAGTAATGATTGGTCATCAAGGAGGTCAACCCGATCTCAAGGTAAAGGGTGGATACACACTGCCAAATTGAAACGTCCTTCAATTTCAGGAAAACTGAGTTGATTTCAAGAGGTTTATCTGTCCAGTTGTCCCCTAGGCATTTTTCATAGCAAAATTCTGTTTTTAGAAACAACTTTTCCTTTTGATGTTGCTTTATGAGAAGTATGCTTTGAAGAAAATGGGCATTTTAAAAGGTCTGAAGTCTTCCTTACCTAGTGTCAGGAATTGGTTAATCATATCAAATAACTGCTGAACAAGTGTCTGTTCCAAGTGTGCTCAGTTTTTGAGCTAGTTTTTAAGGATAGTCAAGAATTGAAAACAACTGAAGGTGGTTCTTCCTGCAGCATCAAAAAGGTAGTTCTGCAAAGGCAGTATAGATGAGGAGAAAGAAAATGCAATGCTCAGAAAGCGCATCAAATGGAGGTGTAAATTACAAGGAAAGCATAGTGTTCTGAAATAATTTTGTTGAGATAAGAGCATAGTATGTGAAAGGCTTTCAATGAAACATCCTTTGTAACAGTTAAGTTCGTTGCAGCATTTTGTGACTCTCCGTTCAGCTTACTTCCTCCAGTTTGCAGTTCTAGGAAATTTTATGTAAACTCGGTCATTCTATGTAGTTCATTTTGAGCTCAGTCTCTGGCTGAAATACCAGTTTGTTTGGAGTTTTTGTTTCTATTATAATTCTGAACAGAAAAAAATAGAGGAATTTTAAAAGGTTGATTTTTTTTTTTTCTTTTATCTGTATACTGTGCCTATGTTGTTTTTATGTTTCCAGATAATTCAGAGGTACTGAGCTCTTGTGGGAAAGAAGTCTAGGTGAAATGTTGTGAAGGGACAGGCAGTTTCAAAGAGATCTTCTTAAGGGTAAAATGCAAGCCATTTTAATGTAGAAGAATGAGGGGAAGAGGCAATTAATAACCAAAATATAAATTTTCCACAGAAGGAAAGCATACAGGAAATTAATGTTGTGTCAGGTTGTTAAGAATAATTTAAAACAAAACATCAGTCTGTAGGACAAAGAGCAAGACAGAGAAGGGTACAAAATTTAGCAGAAGGCATCAAGGTAGTAAGTAGTGCTGTGTATCTGTATGCGAGAGGACGATCAAAGCCTTGAAAGCTGCTTTTCTTTTCTTACATTCCCTGACATACAAAAGTAGAGTCATTCTTTTGCTCCAGCCATGAGGATTTTTGTAGATATCATTGCCAGTGTCACAATGTTAGTCTAACTAAAAATGTCAAGTTACACAACAGCACAGTGAAAATAGTACAGAGGTTTATTATTATTTATAAGCCATCTCTGCTGGAGTGCAATTAAGGTTCTCTAACTTCAGTGAGTTTCAAGATTGAATCAGGAGTGGGTGGTGAAAGTGAAACTGTAGAAAACTAAACAGCTATATATCTAAGTTTTCTTTTAAAAACAAACAAACAAAACACAGTTTGTTTTCCCTTCCGCTCACAGACAGAAAGGCAGCTCTGGAGGCAGTAGTGAAAAGTTTGGGACCTGGCTTTGTAGCAGAGTTCAATAAACATAAGTCACTTCAAGCAGCTGGGCAGGGATCTTCGGGATCAGGAAAATCACCACCCTCTCATGGACTTTTAAGGAAGATGCCAGGAAATACAAAGAAGCCACTGAAAACAAGTGTTTCTTCAAAGGCTTCAAAGAAAGATGTGCCTTCTTTGCCTGGGTCAAGTTCTTCATCTCCTGAAACTGATGATTTACCCCAAAGCAAAGAAATGGAAGAGAATGAGGAAGACTTATCCACAGGAACCAGTGGACCTCGTCCTACTTCTTATAATAGAGTGAGTTTCTTAATGTTTTTCTCTGTGATTTTAAGAATTTGGTTAGTATCTCATTTCAGGGGGATCACTTGTGGAAAGATTAACCATTTGTTTGCTGATTCTGTGCAACAGATACTGCCATCTTAATGCAAAGATTTGCTGGCTGCAAGTAAGTGTGGTAATTTATACAGCAAAGGTTTTTTTAACAGATGTGAAGGAAAACCTCTCTAGTGCTTTCCAACAGCAGAAAGAAATGTCAGTTAAATTTGGGTCCTTGTTCTACTGAGCACTATTTGTATGAAGTGTGAGTGATGAGCTTTGTTTGGAGGACCTTACTGTGTAAATAAAAGTAAAGGGTAGGAGGCAGAAGGTGTTCATTTTGCCCTGTCAAGCAAAAAAGATGAGGCAGAGAACTTTACTACTGTTAAGAAGGATCTTAAAGCCAGCGTTGTCTTAGTCCATCATACTGACCGTTTGGATCTCTTAGAAACACCACCTAGAAACCAGACTGTATTTTAGTTATGGTAGGTGCAGTCGTCCTTGGTAGTCCTTGGTAGTTTCTAGCCTCTAAATGATAAGCAAAGACAACATTGCCTAGTGCTGTTGAAAGCTAATAGATAGTATTGAAAGGAAAGTAGTGGAATTGTGCAGCTTCTTACCCATACAGCCCAGACAACTAGAATTATGTAGATCTATAGTAACTGATAAAACCAGAAAGATTGTATTGTGTTACTTGGTAATCCTATGCCATGTCTTCTAATAACTGAAGATTGAGACAGAGCAGTAGAACAACAAAATTGTGGCTCTGTCCGTAAGTGAACAAAGCAGTCTGTCTACTTTGGAGTAATTTTTATTGCAGATCCTTTTTTTCTTCCTTTTGCTGGGCTTGACTTGGAAAGTGTTTATTTTTGTTTTGTTTTCAATTTGCAGCTGTTGAGAGAGGAATTGCTGAGTTGTGGGACAGTCCTTCAAATATCTGATTTACCAGATGATGGCTTTTCAGATCAAGATATTAAAAAAATTGTTCAGCCATTTGGCAAAGTTAGTGATCTCATTGTACTTCGCTCTAGAAATGAGGTAGGTTTTCCTCTGGAATGTTTTTGTGTCAGAATGCAAAAAAAATTGTCAAGCGATGAACAAGTGTAGTGTTTGGATCCTCAGCTGAGCATAGATTAAGACTTCCTGAACAGTTTGTCAATAAGGATCACATACGTGATCTCGGAATAGATGGAAACGTTAACTTTATAAATTCTTGCTTGCTGCCTAAGTTGTAAATGTTAAAGGAAGTAGGATGTCTTTTGTATAATACTGAAATCTGGACTTTTTCATCAAACTCCACATGAACTTAGAGAAGTACATGCAGTTCTGTCGTAAGCAGATTTTCTAAGGAAAAAATTGCAGTGAATTGTATCTTGTGTCTGTAATATACATAAAGACTGAAAGTGCCATTTATTTTAGGCCTTCTTGGAAATGAACTACAAAGAAGCTGTGATAGCAGCTGTGAAATACGGTGAAACTGTGCCAGTGCTGGTAAATGGGAAACGGGTAAAAATAAGTGTAGCAGAGAAGCCAAAAGCATCTCCTGGCCAGGTGAGCAGCCTGGTGGTGAACAATGTGATACTTTGTGTGTAGCTTGGTGTTTTGCTCCAAAACCTGATGTACTCCAAAAAAACAGATTTAGTAGTTTTAATATGTTTTTTAATTTCCTTTTCTTAAACAGCAGTCTAAAATACGAAAATGCACTTCCTAATTCCAGTTTTCCATATTTCTTGTTAACTTTGATATTTGTGAATAGCATCAGTTTAACAAATAGTGAAAGATAACCACTATATTAATATATTTATACTTAATTAATACTATTTGTATATATATATACACACACATTTGTATATGAAGTTTAAATTATGCAGTAAAAGTTCTTCCTTCTGTCCATTTCAGGCCAAAATGAGTATCAAAAAAAGGGCTCAGAATATTAAAAAAGTTGCATCAAGTACAAAGTAAGTGTTGCCATCCCATACATTAGTTTCAGTGATAAGCACTGCAAACCAAATGGGTTCATATCTGTTTGGTTTCTTGTGTTTTATTGTTTTTGAGCTTTTTTAGCTGTTTTGATATTCATCAATTGTCTTTGAACCTGATTTTTCTTTATTTTTTTTTTTCCCCACCTGCTCCCAATAGGAAAGACCAGAACACCACCACCAAGAGAACTAAATCTATTACAGGTGAAGTTTTGGTTACCTTTTATCTGATGATACCTCTGCTATTGCCTTCCTTCTTTGTTCCCATTTCTTTGTTTTTATCTGAGTGCTTTTCTTAATAGTAACTGAAAGCAAGTTCAGAGAGCTACAAGAAAATGTCTAGTTTATACTTTCAAATGTCTTCCTTTTCATGCGACCCTATCTTTCTTTCTTTAAAAAAACCCACAAAAATCAACCCTCAAGTAGCAATAAAAAGACCCCACCTTGACCTGTGCTTGTACTCTGTAATTTTAAATGTTTGCCCCACCTGTTGAAGACAAGTGTGGCACTTCGGGCTCCATAAAATAAGTGTAATTCTTCAAGTTGACTTTAAGCCTAATGTATAACGTATCTAATATTCTCTTTCACAGTTAGTGCTAGCATTTCCCAGTGTCTTATGTTCTGAGTATATTCCAAATGCTTTTAAATTTCTTCCCTGGTCTTCTATTGATCCTGACAGGAATTATTTCAGTTATTATTACTGCTTGGCAGAAAAACTTGTCTGTCATGCTGTTAGAGAAGAATTTTTTTTTTTAGTACTTCAGTGAAAACAGGACACAAAAGCCAACACAACGTCACAAAAAATGTGTTATTAAGACATTGGAAGTAACAGCCATATCATTTTTTGTTGCTTGTTTTATTGGCTTTCATGAGCAATTTTTCTGAGCAAAGTTAGGGACCAGACATTACTTTGATGGGAAATTGTGCTTTTTAAAGATGTATTCATTTGTCAGCGTGGTCACTTCTGAATCCGGTTTCCAGAATGGAATTAAGATTCATGTAACAGTGCATTTCAGAGCTGTCTCACAGATGGAAACCATGAATTGTTTACAGTCAGTTAAGAGAAAAAGAACACAAACGTTTTTGCAGGAGCAAGGTTTTTTCACCAGAATCCTAAACAAGTTCACAAAAGATACTCTACTTCATGGCTTTCATGCAGTAGTTTGTTGGCATTAACTTATGGTTTAGGTTTTGGGTTTTTTTTTGTCATATCAGTTGAATTACTGCAGATTAAACTGGTTTTGTATGTATTTTTATATTCTTTGTAATTAACTTGGGCAATAAGCATTTCGACTTACACTTGGTTTTGGATATTTTATGTAGGTAAAAAAGAAAGGACTAAGAAATCAACAATGACGGGAGATAGTAAAATCAAGAAAACTTCAAATACTGTGGGTAAGACAAATGAGAACTTTTACACTTTACTTGGAAAACACAGGCAGTTGCTTTTCTGTCCTCCTAGTCCCACTGCCCCCTGTCCAGAACAGATATTTAAGTTAGTGAGTCCAAGCTTTTCACACCTTTTACTGGGCTTGCCAGTGTAGTAGATTGTTAGATAGGCGAGCACCGTTCTTGTGCCTCGTGGCTTGGCTAATGCAGTGATTATCGGTGCTGTTTGTAGATCTAGAATAGCAAAGAATCAGGGAAAGAAGATGAGTTTGGGGAAGCAGACCCTTTCACATAACCACAGGCATACACGTGTTTTGCACAGCTTTTGCTGTATGTACATTTTCTGCCCATTTGTAACGAAGAGCAGGAATTTACGTGATAGGAGGCCTCTCAATATTTGGCAGAAAAATGTATACTGCCGTTCATTCTTCTTTTGCAAATCAGTTAGTTTAATATATTGAAACAAAGAATACTTTTTTCTGCTCTTACCTACCAGCAAAATCTACAGATGAAGACCTTCAGCTCTCAACAGAAGCCGAAATGGAAGTTGGGGAAATGGAGCTGTCAGATGCAAAGAACATTACAGAAGGGGACACAGTTACAGAGCCTGTGAAGATGGTAGAGACTCAGTGCAAAGGATTGAGTAATCCTGCACTTGTATTAGGTAATTCTGATATGATAATGCCATTTTTAATTTACTTTGCTAGTTGTAAGTTATGTGAAGTTTAACATTGTGATGTTGTCTTGAATTTATTTATTTTTTAGAGAGACTTGCACAGATGCCTCAGGTGGCGGCATTGCATTTGGATCGGCTTAATGAAGCTTTAATTGATCAAGGTAAATTGGAAACTGACAGGGTTTTTCTCATTTCTGTCCTAAACTTCTCTGCTGTTGTGGTCTAAATGAGAATGCTTTTGAGACCAGGAAATTAAAATGACACAATATCAGAAAAGAAAATCTATTAGAATACGTTCACTGACTGAAACATAAAACAACAGTTCATTGTGATGACGGAAGTGGCTAAAAACCCCCAAGATTTACATCCTTCAGTGGACATAATATTTTTACCTAGACCTTTTCAGTGTGACATGGGGACTTTTATTTACAGCTCGTTAAAGCAAAGGATTTGGGCTTTCTATATGTTCTGTTTGCAGATCCACCACTAATTCTTTTAATCCCATTGCTTCACATTGCCTGTTAGAGCTGGTTCAATAGATGCTATTTTCCCCATATTTTATAACTGATTAGTAACAGACTTTGTTTTAAACATAGCCTAAGTGTATATTAATTCTCAGTTATATACATGTGTTAGTGGAGATAGGACAAGGTTGTAGTCGCTGAACCTGTTAGAGGTAGTAGATACAAACATTTTACAGTAGAAGTGATTCTTCTTTACCTGTGCTTGCCTATCCTGTATGATTGCTGTTTTCTTATTTCCTGCTGTCTGGATTTTTCTGAGCCTCTCACATACAACTGTGGACTTGTCCCAGGAGAAAGAAGGAAAAAGATTGTGTGGGTACATGCTGGGCACCTGCATAGTCCCCTTGTGCCCACAAGAAAGTCTTGTGGTTGTGATAATTCAACTGATAAGGTCTCAGTGTCAGCAAAGCGTGTGCATGCTACTCAAGGGATTTTAATTAATTTTTTATCCCTACTTAAAACTGTTCTTTTCTGGAAGCATTTACATAACACTGTATGTGTCTCACCAATGTCATTTGTCGCTGTAAGTTAAATGAAGGAATATTTCATTTTTCTCAGTGGCAGTGGTGATAAAATGTAATGCAAGAAGTTCTTAAAGCTCTGGAGTATTTAAAGAAATCTGCTGAATTACTAAACTACTCCCCCACCCCCTTTTTTTAGAAGCTACGGTAACGACTACGAAGAGTGAAGAATCAACAGAACCAGCTAGCAAGGTCAGTCTAAAGGTGATTGAATCCATGGAAGTTCTAAGTACGCACTTGGTCCTATTCTAAGTGTTGGTGTGCTGTCTGAAAACCTCCAATTTAAATCACCTGCCTGTTAATTTCTTGTGAGAAATAATGAATAGTTTATTTTCTCCTTGCTGTTTGTGATTTGATAGACATCTGCCATTTCACTCTTTGGCTTTTTATTTTTTCCTCAGAGTTTGTTAGTTACACCAAAGCTCCTTTACACTCTGATAATCTCTGTTGCCCTACTGTGGGTTTCTTCTCTTTAGATGGAGTATTTGCACATAGAGTCCTGCAGCATTTGATGTGTGGGCATGTCATGGATATAAAGTAGTGGCATAATTATACGGGGTTTTGGTTTGGTTTGAATTTCTGATGAGTTAACATGAGAGAGCCTAAGGTGTGTGCAGAATTAGCTTAGGTGTAGATACATCCACAATTAAGCAGTAATTAAGGTGATTATATGACATAATTAGAGAAGAAGGTTAAAAAAAAATAATATGCTTTGCTACTAAATCCTAAAAAAGTTTAAATGATCTTTGGTGTTGAGGTAGTTGCAAGTATTGTAACATGCTTTTAAGCAAGTGCTTTATTCAGTTTAATGGTGGTTTTACATAGTAAAAATAAATGCTCTCTTCAGTAATACAGCAGTTTTGATTTAGAGCTGAAGAAATAGCAGTGATATTTACTTTCATTTGATTACAGGAACTTGATGATATATGTGTGGTTCTTATTTCAAACTTGCCTGAGAGAGGATTTTCTGTTGAGGAAGTTTCCAACCTAGCAAAGCCATTTGGAGGTCTGAGGGATGTGCTAATTTTATCATCTCATAAAAAGGTATTCTACTTGGTATTTAGTAGTGTTTCTACCTAGAGAGGCAGCAAATGTGTTTTTTAACAAATGTGATAATGTAGTGCGGCAAGCATTGATGTGAGATGCTTTTGATAAATTTTTTTTTTTTTAAATTTTTGTTTTCTTTATTTTAAAAGGCATATCTTGAAATAAATAGAAAATCTGCAGATTCCATGGTTAAATTTTACACCTGCTTTCCAATGTCACTGGATGGAAATCAGCTCTGCATCAACATGGTGCCTCAGCATAAGACTATAAAAGATGAAGTAAGTAATAAAATATATTGAAATTCTAGGATACGTGGTAACATTTCAAGGCAGAGCAGGATTTTGTATTTAAGCTGGCTGATTTATGCTGCCTGTTTTAAGCATTCTTATGGTGGGTCCTATTGAAGACTGATTCTGTTAAATGTCTTTGCGTGTCCTGGACTTCTGATAGGAGAATTACACAGATGTCAGAAGTGCTGATGCTGTTGATTTTATTAATAAAAGGGAAACTAAAAAGTTGTTGTGAGTCAGTGATTGCCAGTTAGCTGCTGCTAGTGAAGCTATATTTTACAGTTCAAATCTTACTTTTTTTTTTTTTGTTTTAAAGGAAGCAATATTTACTGCTATAATTAAAGATTCTGACCCTGAGGTAAGTTGCTAGCAGTCTAACTTTTCCTCCACATGCTATCAAAATATGTTACTTTAAATTAGAATCAGTATCCTTCATACTGAAATATTAGCTAATTGAATTGTTATCTATGCTTTCTCTTGAATTTAGTGTTTATATATGTTTTCATGGGTGAATGAGCAGGGAATAGAATGAGTAAATGTTCACTTAGTTTAGCTCCATGATGCATGAAGTGCAAAGAATTAAACATTTAATAGGAGTCCTTTGAGACCCTCTCCTTCTGTTGCATTTTTTTTTTCAATGTTCTAACAATGAGCTGCTGACCACTATAGCTTGGAGAATGTGCAGTGTTTGCCTGTATATAATGCCACCTGTTTTCCCACTGTGTTTTATGGACAGATATTTTGGTTTGACTATCAGAACTACCTCTGTGCTTTGTTCACTGTAGTGTCTCCCTTATTATCCCTCCTGTTCCTTCACTGCACACAGTGCAAGCTGGCAATTGGAGTACAAAGCATTTTTATACGGTATAGGTAGGTAGAGGTTAATGAAGTTACAGCTTTTATGTCTTCTGTGAAAAACATTTTCAAGATATTCTTGATAGATGGTCAGTCATTGGGTCTGAACGTGTGTCTCTGGACTTAAACAGTTGGCACAAGAACTTCACAAGAGTGACTTTAAGAGCAGCAGTGTCAGAAGCTAATTGTATTTGGTTAAAAAGTGTATTGCAAAGAGCCCTGCCAACAATAAATCACTTTCCAAGAAACCCCAAAAGGCTTGAATTTTCAGTTGCAAATATATCTGGGGAATATCTGCTTTCTCCTTATGATCGTTGTTTGGCACTAACAGAAACATCTGAGTACTTAACTGCCAGCGCCCCTGCTGCTGTATCCCACTTGTGCCTCTGATCTGCTTGTGGTGAAATATTTCTTTCTGCTCCTGGTAAAGTGATGAATAATGAAAGAAAAACATACCAGAACTGGAGGGGGTGGGAAATCTCTTGCTTGTTGCAAGTGAGTGTTGTGTTTCTAAAAGACGCACAACTTTCAAGTATTTAAAAATAAGACTTGTTTAAGATTCCAGAAGTCTCCTGGTACCTTTGGACTTTGTGTCCCAGGGCCCTTCCCTTTGATCCTCCACAAAATATTTGGTGCCGGGCTTCACCATGCCAGTCTATGGTGCTGCTGGCACTACATAGCTGAGGATGGCTTTCTGCTTGCTGTCAGCACACTCGTACGTTCTGCACCAGAATCTTTCCTGGTCAGAAGAGTCTTACTGGTCTCCTTGATAATGTGTCCCTATGCTGGTGGTGATAACTGTGTTTGAAAATGGCAAAACACAAGAAATGATATTTGACTGAGGATCTTTATGCTATTACAAACTGATGAAGTAAATGAACCTACAACTTAAAAACCAGGATTGGAGTCTTCTAGATAGGTTTCTATGCCTTGACCAATTTATAAACTGACTAGATAGTGTCTGCTTTTCAAAATACCAAATTTATTTAAACTTCAGCTTTATTTTGCAGTGCTCCTTAAAGAGACTTTTACTAGTTAAAAAAAATAAAAGATGATTTGAAATAAAACACTCAACTTGATCCTTTTAAGTTTGTTATTCTTTACTGGGAAGTATAGCTGGTTCTTTTGCTATACTGCATAAAAAATGGAAAATCTGATGTGAATCTGAAAATGTGAACATTGGATGTATGTGAATGCTCTTTTTCGGCAAGATCTGGGAGATACAGCAGCTTTCTGCAGGGCTTTTCTAACCTAGTTCAGTAGTTGCTAATAAAGCAAGTTTTGTCATCAATTTTCTTTAGGTAAATACTGAAACTATTCATAATCAGTTTGTGCATCTTGGGAACTTGCCAGATGATGGATACAGAGAACTTGAAGCAGTTTGTGTGGGACTTCGATTTGGAAAAGTAGATCATTATGTTGTACTGAAGAATAAAAACAAGGTAAGTATATTTTTTTTCCTATGGTGCAAAGTACCTTGTTGGGAAAAAAAACTTAAAAAAAAAATTTTTTTTTCATCTCCCAGTACCAAGAATGTTCTGTTAATGAGACACCAAAGTTTCTGACTCTTTCCCACTCACCCTGAACAAGAAAATAGTTTGTCTTATTTGTTAAGGGCAGTGGGGAAGTAAAAAAACCTAACCAACCAAAACAAGCCTTAGGCTTTTATCTAGCCTGAATGATATAAGAACAGTTTAGTAAGCTCTGAAAGTAAAGCTTCCTAAATGGCTGCTAAAGTTATTAACCTTTGACATTAGAGTTGTTAGTGGGAGGGGGAAAGGAGTTCCCATTTTGTAGGAAGCTTGAGGCAAAACAATCCATTTGATATGAGAAGTGAAAATGTCAGAATTGCTGTAATTGCTTTTTGTTTTGGACACTTCAAAATTTAGTGACTTGATTTTCTTTTTTTTTTTAAAAATTTTGTTATTTTAATTTTTAATGTTGCTATTGCTGCACTTAACATTGGATTTTTACTTTATGAACTAGATTTAATTTAGTGTATGTGTATATATATTTTAACAATTAAAAAGCAATTGTGTTCACATTATTTTGAGCTATTTTAAGTTTCCATCTGCTAATAAACCATAGAACAGGTGAAGATGCTTTTAAAAAGAACAGAGCATTTTTCTTTTTTGAAACTAAAACTCCTTTTTTAAAATTTTCAAATGCAATAAAGAGAACTCTGTAGTCAGTAACACATCTAGGGCCAATTTCTAGACCTTCAACTAATTTTGTTGAATTGAACATCAAATGCTTTAATTCCATTGAATCAGCACTTTGTGATGGAAAGCTGTTCCATCAAATACTTTCTGTTTTCAATAGCCAGAGTTGTAGTAAAGATCCCAGAAGGGCAGAGGTGTTTTTTTAAGGAAAAAGACAAAAGGGGGGTCGCTTATTTAAGGCTTGCTTTAAATAAAATATGGAGGGAAAAAAAAAAAGAGAGAGAGGAGTAATATAGTTAATATCAGCTTTAGAACACAATTTGAATAGCTGGAAAATTTTAAAAGTGACTTATAAAACTTGTCTTAATTTTGATAGCTAAAATGTAAAGAAGTGAGGGATTTCTAGTATAGCAGATGAACTTTTGTGTATAGTTCATTTTACTGTTTCCTTTATAAATGTAATCTTGCAGTGTTTTTTGTGGGCATGCACTTCCCCTCGTCCTCATGGGAAGATGCTCATGAGTTACAGCAGAATCAAAGCTGAATGTGTCCAGAAGCCGGAATGTTAAAACACATGTGGGTAGTGAAGCTCCAAGCTCCACTGTTTCGTGATGCTGTTAATTATTTAGTTCTAAAGATAATTCGAAACAGGAGAGATTTCTTTCTTCAGCCTCTCAGAAACAAGAGAATCCACTGTTCTCTATATCTGAAACATAGGATTTAATCAAAAAATGATGCCTATAGGTAATTTAAAATGAAGATGTTGAAACCCTTCAGGAATATTAGATATCACATGCTATACCAGCTGACTATACTAAACTTGTTCTGCAATACAGAAATAAGATGAAGTAACAGTCATTTGAAGCTTGCGCTTTTCTCCTTTTAGGCAATTCTGCAGCTGGATAGTGCCAAGTCAGCCAGGTCAATGTACAGCTTCCTGAAGCAATATCCGTACAATATGGGTGAGCATACATTGACCTGTACATTGTCACCCAAAGGAGAGTCTGCTGAGGTAAGATTTCTTCAATAATACATTATTTCTGTAGAATAGAACCACCTTTCCATGAAGAGCAGCTAATGGTGATAATGTTAGTATTTCCTTCGCTCTTTGCTGTCATTGTAGATGAGAGTGAAAACTGTGCAACAGGTGGGAACTGGATCAGCTGTCTGTAGTCTGTATTCTGGGATGTGGCATAGGTGTCAAAGTATGTGTTGCTGTTTGTCTTTATTTTGTCTCTTTATTTTACGAACGTGTATGGAATCTCTTTCCACTGATGAAAGTATTTCTTAATGAAGGATGAAGAGAAAAAGGAAGAAAGGAGGAAAGCAACTGTTTAGTACCAGTTAGAAAAGGATTGATAATGCAATTATTAGAGTCTTTTTCTGATCTAGTTTGATTCATCTTTAGCAGTTCATCTGCTTTAATCCTCTTGATTCCAGACTTGGTTGCTATGTCAGCATTGGTCTGTGCACCCACAGCTGCTTCCATCTTCTCTCTTAGAAATTAAATTACTTGCAGTATTGAGCAGCTCCCACTTTACTTCTGGTGATTTGCTGAAGGAACAGCAAGCTGCAGCAGCTGAACACCAGAAAAGAAGGAGCTTATTGCGTGTTGCATTGGATAGATAAAGAGCTTTAAGCAAGAAATGCGAAATTAGCCACATGCTAATAGCGTTCTGGCTTCCAAAATGGAGAATGTAAATCCAGATGTGGTCCCTCTCATGGCGTGGAGGTAAAGCACTGTTTACTGTGCACTCAAACATGAGGATTTATTTCATTAGTTCTGTGTACCCCTGCCTTCTCATTTTTCAGCTCCTCTCATGTCCTGACTCAACAAAATAATTTTAATCATTTGTCCAGTGATCAACTCTCCATCTCTTGCCACATCTTCCAAACTACACTTATTTTAGGGGGATATAGCTTGGCTTTTATTCCTTTGAATACCAGCTAGGTTTGTTCTTCCAAGTTCATATATAACTGAGAGAACAGGGACTGACTAACCAGTTCCACATGAGCTGTTGAGATTGAGACCAAAATGTGTATAGGGCTTTTTTGTTTGTTTTGTTTTGTTTTGCTGTGGGGTGTTTTGTTTTGTTTTCCCAGTGATCATCCACGTGAATTCCATTTTTGGAGCTTTCATTCCTTGAGTGTTGCAGTTCCTTTTCAGTGGCATGACTTTGGAATACCATTCAAATGAGGATGTGTCTAGAGGGACAGGGCATCTTAGTTTTTTCCCTTCACTTTTATTCAGCACAAGAGAAAGTTTAACTTCACATGCCTAATGATAACAAGGGCAACAGCCTGTTACTTCAACAGGGAGGAAAAAAAGTCATCCAGATGTGTACTTCTACTTACCAAGCTAACAAAGCTGTCACTATTATTTCCACTGAGCATGACAATGAATTTCAATTTATTTTTTTTAAAGAATGGTTGGGTACTGATCATTGGCTTGTATCATCGTCTGTTTTCTATTGTATTGGCAATTTCTTCTGCTTTATTGAAAAGCATCCTTATTTATGAAATCTGTAGGGTAGCTGTATGGTGTTTAGGATTCATGTTTTTAAAGACATATGGTGTCAATAGGACATTTCTGGTAGGGCACTCTTGTGATAGTTGTTGAGTAGCATCTGGGATGATTTAGGACATAAAATGGTACACAGCAAGATCTGACTTGGGTGCACAGATCTCTTTTTGACTAGACTAATAGCGCCCCTTTCCAAGTAAATCAGCAGTTACTGTGCACGTGCAGAGCCTAGTCTGTGTAAAATCAGTTTTTTACCCTTCTGCGAGTGTGACTCTTTGAAATGTCTGCAGAGATTCAGTCATCAGCCTGCCTTCCCAGCTCTTCCCATCCTGTTCTGGGCCTTTGTCTGTGGCTGAAGGGGTATAGTTTGTTCATTAGGAGTGACTTCCCATTAACTAGCCTAGATGCAATATAATAACACTGAAGGTGCTTTTGAATTACACATTTGATTCAGAGAACTGTTTTAACTTTCCTGCTGAACACAGCATCTCTGCCAGATGAGTGTGGTGGTGTGGTACTGTCGGTATGGCAGGGGTAGGGTAAGGTGGGCTGGCGTGCGTCCCTCAGGACCTCTGATGCAGGGTGGCCACCCACTGCAGGTGAAGTGCTGATAGCTAAAATCCAGTGAGCGCAGGTGCATAGGGTCCTCTTCTCTCTTCTGCTAGGTCCAAGAGCATGGATTAGATGTTCCAAGAGTTTTTCTCTCTCTCCTCTTCCCCATTGCAGGGATGATTCTGCCCATTGCTGACTCTCTTTCTATGGGACAAAATATGCTCTTCTTCTGAGGCACTTTGTTTGGTATTTCAGTTTATGTAGTGAACTTCAGCTCATTTTAAAGAACGTAAATTATAATTGTGTTCGATGATGTCAGATGCATTTAAGAGTAATGTCTTGTATTAGACTACCTTTGTAGCTGAAGAAAATAACCAAATCTTCAGACCTAGGAGCTTTTTCTCAAGTCTAGAAAATGTAAATAAGCTCCCTTAGCACTGAAAAATAAACAAAATATCATTCATTAAAGTGCTCATGCTAAGGAATGTCTGTCAAGGATGCATTGTGGCAACACTTTGTGATTCAAATCTGCTTTTTATAGCTGTTCCCTATATCTTGTGTAGCAAGAGAATAACGTGCCTTTGTCACTATAAATGTTTCATCAGAGCAGAGTTCAATGCCAACAAAGAATGGCATTCACAGTCTGTTTTCAAAATAATATTTCTTTCCAGCTGCACACTTGGGGTGATACAGAGTGCTTATCTGATTTAGAGAGGTTGACCAGCCAGATAGCAGTAACTGATGCCAGTGGCATAGTAACAGCAGTAATGTAAGTGCTTGCTTAATCATGTTATAGTTTTGTTTCTGTAATTTTGCTGATAATGTCTGAATTTAATACTGCTGAAATTACAAAAATATGGGGAAACTCCTGTAACGGTGAAGGTGGATGTACAACTGGAATACAGAATCATAGAGCATGGGTGCAGCGGGTGTCATTCCAGTCTTTGTCAATGTGACTGTCACAGCTTTTGCACAAATGTTAAAATAAGTCTGTACTTTGGAGATACACTCCTAAGCTTTATTTTATCTCTGTCTGAGGTGGAGAGAAAAATGCCTGGTCACACTGCTAAGAGGGAAAACGGAGTTTTTTCCATCTGTTGTTCTTCACTGCATTTTAAGTCTGTTACCTCTTGTCTGTTTTCTCGGTTACATTGCCAGAATCTGGATGTTATGCCTAGGTACCATAGGAAGGTTAAGCTTGTAGCTCCCTTTGCCATAAGTTATTTTCTCTAGAAGCCTTTCAGTCAGAAGCTAGTCTGAAGGAAAAACAAAATAATTTTTAATTCATTATAACGTGTTCAAATTACTTTTGGCACTTATCTCTGGAATAAATGTTTTTAGAAAGGGAAAACTGAAGGGTTTGGAATTATGTGCATAAATAAAAGATTAAAGTGAATTCTACGTGCACTGAATTTATCTGATGTTCTTTCTAATAGTGGTAGTCTTCAAATTAGTTTGTGGAATGCCTTCAGAGAAGAGACTGAGATATCAACACTGAGTTTTTAAAAGGTTTTTGGGTTTTTTTGTTTTGGTTTTTTTTTTTTTTTGTTTTGATTGCTTGGACCTATGCTACTAACCGTGATAGCTGCAGAGCCTGGATGGTTTGTCATTGTCTTTTTTTTTTCAGAAGACATGATTTCATTTCATGTTTATTCCACAAGTTTATTCTACAGAACAGAAAGTAGAAACACCTAGTCATCGTACAAGAAATGAATGCAGGTTTTAAGGGAACAGAAACTGGCCTTTGGTTTTCTGTAGATACTTACTCAACTTGGAATGTAATTTGTCTTTAGAAAAGGTGTGCTGCTGTTTTCTGTCAAGCTAACTGCATTCACCCTGAGCTCTGCAGCTGTTAGCATCCTCGCTGGTACAGGAGAGAAGGTGCTGTCTGGGAAAAGACGTGTTTAACATCCCTCTCCCCCAAATATATCACAGACTATAATAAAAGTTAATTCTGCTCAAAACCGTGACAGCTTTGAAGATGAGACGAACAAAACAGTTAGTGGTGTGCCACATGTTCTGTCTAGCAGACTTTTAGTAAAATCTCTTAGGCTGCCATGCACTTTTATTTGTCATCTCATGAAATACATATTCTGTGGGGAACAGTTTTAGAACAACTAACTGTCCCTTTGATCTTTCAGGTGATGCATGCCTAAATTTGGGTTCAGAGTGTTATTAATTAGGTGGGTTATGCAAATTCTGTGCTGATGCTTCTGAAAGTCATAGATGCTGAACCTTGATTTTTGCCTTTCAGGCTGAAGTTGTGAGAAAAGTAGTGAAGAGAGAGGAACCAAGCAAAGGAAGGTATGCCTTTCAAGTATTTAAGGGTTTTTTTAATGTATCTATATTGTTCATGGAATGTATATCCAAGGTTAAGCAGATTGCTGAGCCATCTCTCTAACTGAGCTTGATGAAAAGGCCCACTGTGAGATCCATCAACTGTTACCTGCTGTTACTTCTTTCAAGCTTTTGTGTGTTCTGTGTGTGCAGGACGTGTAGTGTATTGCTGTAGAGCTGTAATGTTTGTGATTTCTTTGAAATCTGGGGCTTTCAAAGAACATGGACAAATGGGGTGAAATCCTGTTTTCTGTGTAGTTCGTTGAGTTATAATTGTTCTACTGATTTGGCCAGGATTTTACCACAGGTCCTGGAAAGTATGTTTGGATATACGTGTTGGTAAGACAATTTTTTGTTGTATTTAACCAGGAAGTGATTGCTTTATTTTGTCCTACAGTGCTTTCCTCTGTCAGAGCACCTGGCTCTATTGTTTCTGTTTCCAAATGCTAAAAATAAACCGAAACTTCCTTGTTTAACTTATTAACATTATTCATGCTGTGATACAGGTCCCTGAATTGATTTAAAAAAAATGTTTGGATGCTATATTAACGTCAGAACCTAGAAATGGGAAATGGTGGTTTTGGTATGTTCCATTTAAAATTGTTTTACGGACATTGCTTGTAGTAAAATTTCTCATTGTGGAGCAACTATTTGTTGGCTTTAGAGTGTTGATTATGTTTTTTTATAAATGGATAGATCATTATAAGAGTTCTTGTTAACAAATATGACTTAAAACACCTTCTGTGACTCAAATCCATATTTCTGGATAAGTTTTATCATTAAAAAAACCAAAACAAAACTGTGTAATAATGGTCCTAAACTTCAATTTCAAGTAATGCCATTATACTATCATGGACTGTTACTATATTTCCAAAACCTGTTTCTTCACAAGTAGAGTTAGGCACTCCTAATTTCATGAAACTTTTACACAGACCCTAGTCAATTTTGGAAGTATTTCGTTTCTAAACTGTCTCCGACTCACATGTAAGCAGACATTCAGGTAACCTTTTTGATTCCAGACTGGTGGGCTTTAGCTAGTAGTGGTAATTAATGAAAACAAGTGACTCTTACATGAATCCCAGGTACTGCCCAGCATCCAGCTGTGGCTGTTGAACAGATAGGAAACCTGACATTTTTCCCTACAAATAACACTACACACATTCTCCTTGTCTGAGGCAACTGTCTTCTCCTTATAAGCCTTTGTGACTTGACTGATTATTTTTTTCAGTTACGTTTCATAAGAAGCAGAAGATATCTTAAATATTATTATATATCTGAAGACCTTGTCACCTGTTTCTGGGGAGGGAAGCAGTAGCAAAATTTGGGGAGCAGAAGGGGCTGCCTTCTAGGTTGCCTGGGATGATGAGATGATCCCGAAAAAACTTTGGAATGCTTCTGGAAGCTCAGTTGTTGTCCAGCCCGAGTAGGTAGTTCATCTAATCTTGCGGCTGAGGTGACTGATGTAAATGCCTCTGCTTGTTTCAAGGATGCTGATGCATTTTGTTGGGATTTGTTTTCCTCAGCTAAAACAGCTGAAACTTTTCTTGGCGAGGTTAAGATTCAAGGACCATCCCACTGCTCCTTTTAATCCTGATCTGACGTGTAGCAAGCAGGTTGTGTCTCCGTTGTGACGCAGCCTCTGTGCTGGCATTTCTAGCACTGAACTCTCCAAGCCTTTCCCTTGCTAACTCGGGCAGTAATGACTGCGTATGGCAGCTAATGCAGGGATGTCCTATGCAGAAGCTGAGCACCAGGTATTGTTGGTTTCACCCTTTACACTAACATCTGTGCAGGAAATCTGTCTTGCAGGTCTACGTGCTATTCCTTTCCCAATGCCTAACAGGTCTTTTAAGTGTTACTTCAAGCACCTTGGTGCTTCATCAGGCTCACTCATCTCTATCTTTGTGCATTACTGCCTCTGCAGACCTTTCCTTCCACTGCTTCACAGTCTGGTTTGAATCTATCAGTGTATTTTGGAGACCACCAGGGCTTTGTGGAAGGCACAGGGTGGGTGTTGACATGAAAGGAGACATAAAGTCCTGAGGATTCAGAGACTAATATCTAATTTGTATTGTGTAGAGGTTAATATGTGTGTGCTACTACTGTAAGCTTTGTAGTTAGTGTATGGTTCCAGTGTTCACTGACGTTTTTTCCATTCCCTGCAAAAAAGTATATAAACAGAGGCTGTGGGGTACAGTTTAGCAAGGTGTCGGAGCTTGTATTTAATTAAGCTTTCTACGCATCAGTGACAAACCTGGGCTTTCAGAGCTGAATTTCTGCACTTTGTGCTCTGACTTATCCAGGTAGTGTTTTGCTACACAGCCACGTGAGACATAAATCTCAGCGGTCTGTAGGATGCTCAAATAGAAGAGAAAATTAACTGAAATGGGTTTTGCTTTTGGAACACAATGTTTAACTGATGTCAAAATATCTCGTGTGTTGTGACTGAGTAAACCAATTCTGTGGCATAAAAAGCAGATCAGCCCTGACTGCTTAGCCACTCATGAGGCACACTTACCTCCAAACATTTGCAGCTAACAAGCTTAAATTGATTACAGGTCTAAGAAGCCTGTTGCAGATGAGCAGGATGTTGGAACGAGTGAGGCTGCTTTTTTTTCATAAGACTTCAGTTACTGTGAGCTGAGCTGCTCGGGCTCTGAAGGAGATTCCCAGTGTTTTGTGGGGCACCGCTGAGAGCACGCACACTCCGTCACTGCCTGCCAAGCCACAAAATGCTGCAGTCGTGCCACTTAGCTAGGGGAGGAGTGCCCTCACACCGTGTTGCAAGTGTCCATCTGATGCACAGTCATGACGTATTACATCTGTGCCAATTTTAAATTGGTGTTGTGAAAGATTTTGAAGCACAATTCATATCCCTTCTTCTCTCTCCTCTCGCATTTTGTAGCAGCAGAGGACAGTGCCCTCAGGTCTGGAGGAAACCTTCGGGATTGGTGTTTTTTTGTGCTTGTGTAGCACAGATGTTAACTGAGTTTGCCTGTTTTCATCTTTCTGTTGACTCCATGTATTGTGTCTTCGTCTCGTTAACCCTCGCATCTGGCCACTTCAAGATTTAACATTTTCGTCAGTGTTGAGTTCCATTTGATCTAGCCTTCCATCTTCTTGCTGACAACGTGCTGGGAGTATTACCAAAATGGCAGGCTTCTCTGCTCTGCTCTTTTTTATTTTCATGAAGGTTTATACAAATGTGCACCCTTTATTCACATACATAGGCTCTGAGAAACCATAGCGCAGGCTGCTCCATTGTGCATAACCACTGATTAATTATGTGTGTTTGCTGCTTTTGTGTTTGTTTCAACACTTAGCAAGATTGTCAGCACTGGCATTTCGGCACCTTTCCATCTAGAGATGCATGAGGTGTTGGGATGCTCGTTTTCTTGAGCTTTGTGGGAAGAGGGGCACCGACATCTCTAATTTCAATGTCTCCCAAGATCATCTACGGAGGATTCTTTGTTCAGAGAAGAATAATGCACTTACTGTAACTGAAGTTCTCTGAAAAGCGCTATCCTCTGCATTGTCATCTTGGGCTTTATTATCCTGGGAGCTGACAGTGGGATTATACAGTGAAAACAGAGCCTGACCAAAAGGAGCCTCTGTGCATGTATTGTGTTCCCCGCTATTGTGCGAGGTCAATGCAGTTTAAAACCAAAGCAACCCCTCCCTCCCACCAAACCTGAACCAAAAAAAAAAACCAAAACCAACCAAACTTCAGGCTCCTAGCTACTGAAAGAGTTCTCTAGGTTGGTAACTGCAGAGTCTTCTGTCTTCAAACATAACAAAACTCTGGTAATTCCTTTGTACAGGGAGACTGAAGCTTTATTTTCGCTGTATATGCACTTTCACAGTCTGCCTTGCATCAGGGGATCTAAATTTTAGGAGTTCATGTCAGTGGTGAGGTCACAGGGCACATCTGTAGTGAGTGTTACCTTCAGAGGTCTGACTACAAGTAATGCAATTCAAAGTGTAAGAGGCTGGCAGTACTGAGGTGGATTAAACAGAAGCATAAAACTAATCAGTTATTCGCCTTATTTTTTTAACCATTTTAACGCTGATAGGCTAGATGTCCAAATGCTAAGCACTAATGCATCAGGAAATCCCCCACCATTGGCGTCAAGAGGTTTCTGGTAACTGTAGAATTCTCAACATAGTTTGATTTCTTCTGTTTTTTTTAAATGCATTTAGCTCTGGCTTGAAAAAATATCCAGAGGGATCAGGAGTGGTGCAAACAGCAGCTGCTAATCCTCCAGTAGAGCCTAGTGTGGCAAAGAAAGGAGCCATTTCCATCTCTAATGTCAAAGACGAGATGTCAGCAGTACAGATAGAGCCCTCTGAGTCCCATCTTGAAAGAGCAGTAAGGGAGTCTGCTGCAAGACTGGCAGAAACGTCTACAGAGAGAGTGGACCCTGGAGTTGCAGTTACTGTGGCATCTATCAAATCCGCTGATACCAAGTCGTCTGAAGCGAAGTCAGAAGAGATGCTACTGCCACCTTCCAGTGTGGAGAAAGAAGAGGCAGTTAAAGATAATACCGAACCAAAGTCGTCTGAATCTGCTGTTGTATCTGCATCAGAGAAGGAAATTAAAGAGAAAGATGAAGAATTGTCATCTTCTGCCATCGAACCAGCAGAAGAATTGTCTGATGTGGGCAAGGCTGAAGCTGTGTCATCAGATTGTGCTGTGAAGCTGGCAGCAGGGGATACGACAGGGGCTGTCCCTGAAGCAGTGCCCCCTGATTCTGTTGCAGCTTCAGTGGAGATGGTGTCATCTGTTGTCATACAAGCGAACAACAAGTTGGATGCTCCTGAAAAAAATCCTGTTTCTGATGCTGTGAAAACTGAGCATGAAATGCCTGTAACTCAGATAACAGAGAAGAAACCTGTACTTAAAACTGGGGCAGCCGTGGAGAAGAAACTGGATGTAGCTGGAGCAGACAAAGAGATGAAACCAGAAGAGTCTGCGGTCAAAGTTGGAAGAACTCCAGAGGAGAACCCTGGAAAGCTTTTGGTGAAGACTGGGGCAGAGACAGAGAAGAAACTTGAAAAATTTGTGGCCAAGGTTGAGGCTGCTGTGGAAAATGCTGCAAATGCTGTCAACGAGAGCAACGAGGGAAGTTTAATCAAAGCCCATCAAAATAAAGGAACAGGACCAGCAAAAACTGATGAAACCTGCAAAGCAGTTACGTTAAACTCCTCTTTTTCTGTCAAGGAATCTTCCGCTGTTGGTAAAATGATTTTAAAGGCAGTGGTGTCTCTTCCGGATATATCAAAGTCAAGGGTTCCAGTACAGAGAAATGAGCCTTCCCTGTGTAAAGGAGGGGAGCAGAAAACTCCCTCAAAACCTGAGACCCGAAGCCAAGCAGCGGTGGAGAAGAAAATCGTGTCAAAAGAAGAGGGTCATCCGAGACCTGGTAGCAGCCCATCAAGCCTGGGAGATGGCAGCGGCAAATGTAAAGTGAGCAGAAGTTCTGTTGTTGATGGAGAGGCAGGCAATGGGAGGAATTCACCTCAGCAAGAGAAGGACTCACGAGTGGAATCTAGGGCTAGTTCAAAACAGTCTCAAGAGGGAGAGAGTAGATCATCCAACATGAAGAAAGACAACAGCAGCAATAAGGTGAGGAGGGCAGGAAGGCCGGTTCAGTGTGCCTGATCAGTAACTAACTCCATGCTTCTCCCAGATGTTGAGTATGGGACAATGAGATTATGTTCCCCTTCCCTTTTCCATAAATCACCCACCTGGTTTGGGCCAACAGCCAAGTTGGAATAGCGAGATGGCGGGCAACCAGTTGCTTTTAGATGCAGTGTGTGCAACGCAAGTATGTAACTGGTTTGAAAATGCTACTTGGAAAAAAATTGCAGGCAGGTATTTTTGAAGTGAGTCTTTATTGAGTGTCTTAACTTTATGTTCTTGGATTAGTTCTGAATGGGATTTAATAAGCTTTCTGTCCTTTTGTGAGCTGATATTTGCTTTGTCAAGTCCTGCACAGACACTGGTTACTGAAAAGAGGCTACTAAGCAAGGTATTACATGCGACTTTTTGCTAGAGACTGTATGCCTGGACTCTACCGCTGATGGTTGGCTTAGTTCTGTATTTGCCAAGCATGTGATCAGAAGCAGCAATCTGGACAACTTAATAAAGTTCATTAAGGGAAAAAATAGCTGATTTTTTTTAGATTATTTTTTCTCTTGTGGACAGGTTAGTTGGCTTAACTGATTTCACGTGAACTTTTGTCTTAATTTTGCAGGCTTCTGTTGGTGGCAATACTAAAACTTCAAAGAGTGGCACTACCAGCAGTGCAAAACAAAAGGAGGTAAGGATGGTAACCGTAAATGAACTTAAAGTCATATTGTCTTGGAAGCGTGTGTGTGCGTGTGCGCGCTAAGAATCTTTAGCGTCCTTCCCTAGGGAATTTTTTGGTTTACTAGTTGTTACGGACTACAGGCATAAAGCTGCAAAGCCAAGTAATTTGGAAGAGGAACTTAATTCAGGAAGTGAGTGTTAAGAGGAGGTGTTTTTTGGTCTTGGATATCATTTGTTTGAGAGAGAAGTAATTGTTGCCTGCATGAGATCTTTATTCATCATCATGCTTGTGAGAAGAGGAAGGAAGGCTGAAGTCTTCTAGCTCTTTATAAATGTTTTTTTTATGACAGGAGGTAGTCAGAACATCTCCATCCATGGTACCTCTTCCATGCAAAGATATTTCCAGTGGGTTGGGAGGGCTTGGGAGCCTGTAGGCTCAACTGCTAAAGAGTCTGCATTTTTACAGGAAGGTGAAAAGAGATACACGCTATCTCTCATAGACAGCTTGGGCTTTGGGAAACAAAAGCAGAAGGAAGGTAATAAAAACCCGTATTGATGAGTTTGTAGATGTAGCATTACAGGATCAAATCAAAGATCTACCAGGTAAGTAGTGGGTCCCTATGGAAAAGGGATTTCTGAGATAAAGTTGGAGACCTGAATTCTTTTATTAATCTTAAGCCACATAAACTTCTTGCATCACCAGCACAGTGTGTTTGTGAAGTTGGTCCTAGTGATGGTAATAGAGAATGCTTTCATACCTGATGTTCCAGATGTGTGTGTTAATCCTCAAGAGGAAATTCTGCACCCTTTGAAAAAAGGCTTTGGAATGTCAATTACTTCTCACTGCTTTATTCTTCACTGTTATATAGCTGATAAGAACCAAGATCTGTGTTTTCCTTTTCGTGAAAGAAAGAATACAGTAATGTTTGATTTCAGTTGAAATGTAACCAGATGCTTTTTTTTTTCCCCACTGTGTCCACCTTGCGTTAAATATTCCTCAAGTTTTTGCATCAGAATGTGGGTGGAGGCACACATTATTCCTAGTATTTGTTAGCTTTTTAAAAAAGAAAGGGAAGAAAAGGCATGTAGCCTTTGAATTTCAGATTACTTTTTCTGCTGGAGGACTGTTTTTGGTATTTCTTAGCTGCAGTCTTACTCTCTAACAGTGGAAAGTTCACCTTGCTTTGGCCTTAAAGTTCTGCATTGACAAGAGTTTTTTCACTCTTCTTGTGTTAGATACTGACCAGTATTTGGTGGTAGGATGGGATATTTTGGGTAAAAAAAAAAAATTCAGAATCGTTCATTGAAGAAATTGAATGCATAATTTGGAGTGGAATGGATATTTGGCTGCATTTTACTGTCTAAATTTATTAATTGACTACGAGTACCTCCCCCTTATCCTGCCATCCTGATTATAAAAGCATAGCTATTTTACAGTGGACAAAGCATAATACACTATTCCAAAAAACGTGACTGCTGTCTGTTCAAATAACCTAGAAGTAATTTGGGTTAATTCAGTCTTCAATAAAAGTCATCATCTATCCATACATCCTCTTCCGGAGGCTCTCAGCTACATATGACATTAAGCTGCTGCTAATTCTTTCCAGTGGTCCTAGAATAAATTGCCTGAGCCCTGATGGAAGCTGGCATGCTCAAACTGCAGGGGAGGAGGAGTTTTAGATGCAAGACGTGCTCCAGTAAGAGCCATGCCACTGACTGAGGGGAGTTAGAAAGGGTCAGGCTCTGTCATCTTAAACACAAGAACACGGTAAGGCATTCGCCAGAAAGCTGGAGCTTGCCTCCGGGCCCCTAACGAAAGATGTCCGGCACAGGGAGGAGCAGCAAGTCTGTCAGAGCGTCTGTGGGGCTAGTCAGACCTTAATAGAAAGGAGAAAATGATCTTGTATGTGTTGGTTATAGAGGAATGTGGGGAGGTTCCAGTAGTGGGAGCCCTTTCCTGTGCTGGAGCATAGGGCCATCGGAGAGCCTCTCTGAAACAGAGATGTTTGTTAGGAGATTGAAACCAAAGAGGCAAGATAAAACAGTGAATAGTCATCAGGAGACAGAATGGCTTTGCTGGATTGAAACACTAATGTAGTCTCCTGTTTTGCAGCAGCAGCCAACAGCATATGCTTAGGGAAGAGAATGAGATATTGACACAAGATAATAGCATTTTTGAAGGATACTCTGGAGGTCTTAATGTTTTCACTAGCCTTCCTGAAAGTGAGTGCAAAATATGCATGAGTATTCAGAGCCCAGTTCTTATATTAGACGTAAATTTTGTCTATTCATCTGCTGTGTTTTTGAAAAATGCTTTGGGTTTCTGAATTAAATCTGCTTACTTAACACAAATGCTGATAATGAAAACTCTTCCACATGAGACTGAAGGCCTCAAAATTTTTTCCTATCCTCAAGTCAAGTTGCTTTTTTTTTTTTTTTTTTTCCCCCTCTTGAGCCAGCTTCAGTGTGTAGGTATTTTTCATTAGGCGCCTTGTGGATGGAGGTGTTTGTGTCACTGGGTGAATGTTAAACTTTGTTGTATTCACATTTTTACACTTCCTAGGAAGAAGAGCTGTTTCCATTTAACCTGGATGAATTTGTTACTGTGGATGAGGTCGTAGAGGAAATCGAGTCTCCCATTAAAACACGGCAAAATCCACCGAGGGGAAAGAGAAAAGATGGTGCTAAAGACAATAGCTCCTCTGAGCCTAGTTCCAAGAGAAGGAAAGGGAAGAGCTCCATAGCACGCATTGCTGAAACCGAACTCTCTTTTGTCACTTTGGATGAAATCGGTGAGGAGGAGGATGGGACTGCACAGCTAATGGGAACTGCTAATTTAGAAGCGCTCAGTGACCCGCAGGGCCTGGTTGTAGTGGATGAAGTGATCGAAGAGGAAGAACTTATGTCAGAAGCAGTAAAGGACCCACAGTCGCTTGTTACTTTGGATGAGATATCTGAACAGGAGGACCTTAGTTCTCAGAAAGACGTCCCTAGGTCAGTTTTTGAGGAGCAGGATTTGAAAGCTGAACCCTTGCTAACTGTAGATGAAATTGGTGAAGTAGAAGAGCTGCCTCTGAACGAGCCTACTGACTTGAATATTGAGGATGTGCTGAAACAGAAGGAGGATGATAAAGTGGCTGCAGAGGATACTGGAGATGGTGCTTCCTCCCAGCCGCCTGATGATCCCAGTGCTTTAGTGACAGTAGATGAAATACAAGAGGATAATGAAGATAACCCTCTTGTGACTCTGGATGAAGTTAATGAAGATGAAGACGATTTTCTGGCTGATTTCAACCGTCTAAAAGAGGAACTAAACTTTGTTACAGTAGATGAAGTTGGAGAGGAGGACGAGGAAGAAGAAAATACTTTCCCAGGGAAAAATCTGAATGAGGATGAAGATGATGAAGATATTGTTGCTGTTGCAGGACCAGAAGAAGAAGAAATTGCTGCCATTGCAGGACCAGAAGAGGAGGATATTGTTGCTGTTGCAGGACCAGAAGAAATGGAAATTCTAGGAAATATGAGTCCAGAAGAAGAAATTATGGCAATCTCAAAGTCAAAAGGTAAGGAGCCTCTCATAGTTTCTAGAGGGGAAATAGGAAATAAGATGCTTGTAATCAGTGCAATGCACGAAGAGATCCTTGTAGCAAATAGAGGAAACTGAAAAACCCTGAATCTTTGACAGAGTTAATGAAAGAGGTGCTGGGGAAAAAAACCAGAGACTGAGAGTGAACAATGGCCTGCAGGTAGGGTATTTTATTAATGCATTTTACAATGCATCTTTCTTTTGATGTAAAATTAAGGGGCATGTTGATTTAAAGTGTTCATTTGGTGTTTATGACGGCTGAAATTGGGGAAAATAGTTTCTTTTCTTGCCTTTAATGCAAGGCCTGGTAAACTACCTAACACTGCACAGAGTATTTATAGTCTTAAATTACAGGGCCAGACTTCATTAAAACAAGTGAGTCAAATGATATAGACACACAGATACAAAGAAGTAACAGCTTCCAAGCTGGATCTAGAGAAAAAAATGTAGAATGACTGTACCATGGAATTAGCAAAGGGTGAAGAAAGTCTAATGCAGAGCCAAGTAGGGAGAGCTATATATAACCAACAAACAAGAAGAGTTTTGGCCAAAGCGTGGGTGAAGGCTCTGTGTGATGCAGTCTGCTAGTATCGAGTTTTTTTCTGTCTCTGCTGATGTAGCTGAGCACTGACACAGCACCTTTTGTTCTAGTGCTTTGGAAAAGCTTTTCTCCTATCTCACACTCATTGCGTAGCAGGGGCAAGCTGAGTAGTGCAGGTATGGAGGAGCTGCAAAAGCAGCAGGTATCTTGCTTAAAACAGAGTAATTTTAAACTTCAGTTTCTGTAAACATTAGGAAAGGGATGAGTTAACTGTATACACTCCCAAAAATATTTAAATGCTGTATATTGTATTAATCTGGTTAATGTTATAGAACATAAGCTTCCCTATGATTAACAAAAGCATTTACTGAAAATGCAAAATATCTTCTATGTTCTATTAGCAAGTTAGCTGTAAAAAGACCTCTTCAAATATCCAAGCCCTTGAGTTGATTTCTGGTCTAACTGATAGTGGCGAATTATAATAAATATAGTTGATGCACAGTAAATAAGTGATTTTAGTTCCTCTCTGTATAGTAAAAATCTCAGGCAAAAGAGTTGGACTTAGGAAAGGACTAGTTCCTCCAGAATTTGAGAAGTGGAACAGGAAAATTGTGGGGAGGAGAGGTTAAAGCAGGTAAAATCCTGTTATTCAAGTCTTAAAATCTCAAACCAGCAGCAAAATAGGAAAGGATTTATTGATTGCCTCAGGCCAGCAGTTCAAAGGATGACAGTCGGACTGCAGCTGGTAAAGATGGCAAATCTGAAACTTTGCGTGTTGCATGATGCGGTGAGATACAATCTGCTGAAACATCAAGGGGTGCAAGAGACTGATGCTGTCTGTTGTGTTCCTTCGACAGCTTCCTGGGTTTTGTTGTTATGGCAAAGGATTTATTGCATTAACCTTGTCTAGGACATGCTGGTATCTAGATTATTTGAATATGAAATTATAAAGAAACCAGATATTTTTGATGTGTGACTCTTCGCCTGGCAATTGGACTGCTTTGGTAGTCTAAAACCCAAAGACCTTGTTTATCTTGTAGTAGAGGAGACTGTCAAACTCCTTGTCTCCAGAAAAATCTTAAAATGTTGGTTTTGAGCTTTCCCTAGAGCTGGTTAATCCAATAACATATTCTCTTGGGTTTGGCTGGTTCTGTAACGAAGCTGAAATATTGCTGTTGGACCTTGAGCTAGATTAATTCAAGAAAGCTTGGTAGTTTGTTTTCTAAAGAAGTTGAGATTTTTGTGACCATAATCACAAAGTTAGTTTGAAGCTGCTGGTAAGAGCTGTAGAGGAAGGCAGCTGAGAGTGGTGGTGGTATGTCTGTGAAGAGTGCTGTGTGGTCAAGAGCGCTTTTGGAGTCATTCATCGCAGCACCAGGGCGATGGAATCTTGCTTGCAGGATTGATGTCAGGAGTTCCTGAAAATTGCTCTATGGAGAGACCAAACCGACTGGTGTAGAGAACAGCAAGGCCCATACAGATGGTGTTTGTTTCAAGCAGTAACGAGCCATTACAGCTAGAGATAGAGTACTTTTAAACTAACTGATATCTTTGTTTAACATGGATTTATGGCCTCCAGTAGATCAGCTGGGATCAGGAGATAAAGAACCAGAGCCTAAGCGGAAGAAAATTGCTTCTTCAGATGTATCAAAGACGCAGAGTACTCCAAAAGGTAAAACCAAAACCACCCGCCCCAAACACTCCATACTTTTCTTGCTGAAGACAGCTTTCTTGCCCGTTTGAAAATGCCCTTTGCCACATTACCACATTTAACTTTAAAGTCATGGCTCATAATCTGTGTTTTTATCTTGGCTCCTACAAATGCATGTTTTACAAGTTTCTGCTGTTGGCTTAATAGCAGCAGCAAAATTCAAGGTTCTTTTTTTCCTAAAATTTACAAATACAGGCTAATTTATTGATAATTAGCACAGTGCAGTGTAGTATCTACTTACTGTTCTAATCCTGTTATGAGTTTTATTACCAACTTTCAATGTATAAAAATGAGGGAACTGCTTACATAGTTTTAAAAGTGTGTGTGTGTGTGTATATATATTCCAAGATCCTCATCTAAAATACTTTTCTATAAAACTACTGATAACACTTGAACTGTAAAAGAAGTTGCTAGGAAAATATGGATCCTTGCCTGATGGCTTGTGTAATATTCTCTGTGACAGAAAATGCTTGTGTAACGCACTGTAGGACAGAGGTTAAACTTGGTTGTATATAAAACACTTTTAAGGCCAAAGGATGCTGAGGTAGTTGCCGTGAGCTTCAGATCCAGAAGGTCAGTTGCTCCATTGGCAGAAAAGTATGTGTCCTCCTGTTTATCAAAATAGGACAGGTGACCAACTCGGATTAGAATATTCAAAAAAGGTAACTAACTTCCTTCTAGTAATAACAAATTGTATAGTTCTGGCTAATGGAATCTGATATTTTTCTTTAAAGCTGTGTTTTGTTAATGGGTTGTTTTGAAGGTGTGTTTTGTTAATGTTAATGATGTGTGCTGTCTCTTCAGATTTGGATTACCTAGTTCCAAAGGCTGGCTTTTTCTGTCAGATCTGCTCGCTGTTCTATGCAGATGAAATATCTGTGAAAAATCACTGCAAGACACCTCTTCATCAACAAAACATGGAGGTAATGCTGAAGCTCTTCCAAACACACAGGAGTGAAAAGAATATTGTTCTAAAAAAGTTTGCTTTAATGAGTGCTAATTACCTAGTGGCATAAGGAGCTCATATTAATGCTTCAAGGGGTTTGAGTTTTAAACTCAGACACAGATACTGTTAAATTACTCAAGCTTATCACCTACATAAAGCATTCCTTACCTAGGAAGGCGTGGGGGCTAGCTGTTTTCTTCCCTTCATTTTTAAGAAGTGATTTTTTAAAAACTATGCAGCGTTGTGTCCGAAAACATGGTTTTGTCAGATTTTGTGGCTTGCTGAAACTGCAGACTGCCTAAAATATCTTGCAGATGTAAAATGATCAAAAGGTCAGTTTGGCAGGCAGAAAACTTAAGTTTGGGGTCAAAACTCCCCTCACCCCTCAGCAGCACATCTTGCCGGTGCACCTGGCCAGTGGGGACCCAGCGTGTAGCGAGGTGCTGATGTGAGGGGTAGAAAACTGGGAAGATATTTATCAATGTGGACTTTTGTAAAGTGGGTGCAATGAATACACAGCCTGTGGTAAATATTGAATAACTATTTTAGATATCATGACCAGGCACAGGTCCCTGTCATCGTGTGAACTCCTGATACCTAATATTTTGCCATATGCCCTGTAAAAATTGCACTCGGGAGCTTCACCACTTGGTGATTGTGCGTGTGTCAGTTTGTGAGCAAAACTTTTGAGTGTTTTTTGGTACAGATAACATGTTACCAGTATCAGGAGTAGGCTGATTTTTGGATGATATGTTTATGAAACCTACCCTGTGTTTAGAACATGATCTTGTCACAGACTGAGGAATAACATAGCGATATCTTTTCACTGGCTACCCTTATTTCTACAGAAATTCATGGCCAAGCAGAAGGATGAGGATAACGATGGGGAAGAGCGGAGTTCAAGGTGATTGGAGGAAAGAAGAATTCTTTCAGTGAATTAAACTTAGGGTCCAGTCAATTTTGTGTATTTTGTTATGATTTAATTTGTAATTTTGTTTCAGAAACAAGCATTCATGTTGTATAAATTTGAGCTCAGTATAGACAGACTAAAAGAAAAACATGTGGTGGCTTTGATTTGTATATCAAATCATCTGACTTCGAAGAGACTTCTTTTACAAGTGTCGACATGAAATAAATGTTCTTACTGTATAGTTAACACCAGGGGATGGTGTTTGGTGTGATTTATTGTCTTCTGTTAACTCTGGATCACAACAGAGACTAGGAGGGAATTCATTCCAGAGATCTCTCTCTGGTGCCGCTTTACAGAGCTCTCAGCAGGTGAAATTTCATGTGCTACATATGCTCCATGCTGCCCCAAAGCAGTGACCCTCATGGTAAAGGTTTTGGAGTTGCTGTGGGTAGTTACGCTCCCTTTAGCCGCCTTTTTCCTATGGCCTCTGCAGTCTCACGATCGTCCCAGGAAGATAAAGACGAGGCCAGCAAGGGGAGCAAAGCCTATTCCAGCACTGCGTTACCGTGCCTGTCGTTACTGTGGTCAGCCAGGGACATCACTGTCCTTTGCTGTTTCTCCTTGGTGACCGAGTTAGCTATTTATTTTGGGTTGTTTTTCCCTAGTTTCTTGAAGTCTGTAGATCAGAGCCTGTGGAGCACTCGGCAGCATGGCTGAACTTTGTAATCTGCTCTTGAACGTTGCTCATTGCTAAGTCTGGGTCTCTGGCTGGCACGCTCTTAGCAGCAGATTGCAGTCTGGATCATGATTGACTTTGAGCTTTTATTTTTCACCTAGCCACTTGAAATTTATTTAAAAGACTGTTTTTTAAAATCCACCACTGTCTCTGCCACTCCTTCAAACTTTGGGTAGTTGACTTTGGCTGAATTATGTTCCTGGAGGAAGGGTAAAGAAGTATTCCTACATGTCCAAGGAAAATGAGAGTCTCAGTGGTTCTACCTGTTGGGGATATTACATGTCATACCTGTGCCATAGCTGGTACAAAAATCCTTGTGTCTTCAGACTGCTGATCAGTAAAGCACCAAAACAAACTGAACTTTGGGTTCGGCAAAGGAAGCACCTGCATGTCGCTGATGTGGAACGCTGTTCCTTGATGGGAGATGATCCTGTGAAGTCTCTCAGACTTATAGGTCCTTGCTTCTTTGAGAGCAAGCACGTGCAGAAAGAGGTATTTGTATTTCATGTGTTGAAGTCGTCGAATGATACTGAGCTGGTAAACGTCTTTAAATACTTGTTCATTGCCCGGAGTCCATGCTGTGTATTTGCAACGAGGACAGACCCTGCTCTGAAGGCTCCAGAATGAAGGCTTTGCTTTGGGCTGTTCATGTAGTTGACAGAACAGTCGTGCTGTTTGACAGGCAGGTTACAGAACTTTGTAAATGATTGCTGTTGGCGCTTTTTTTTCTTGTTTTGCTTGAGTCTGTCAGTAAAGACCACTGCTGTGGCTGAGCTTGCTGCCTGTGTGTGCTGGTGAGCCATTGCGCTGGTCTGTCCTGGCATGTCCAACCCCCTCTGAACAGATAAGTGTCTCAAAAATGCACAAGGGATTTAGACCAGCAAATACTTGGCAAGCCAGGGAGCATGATTCAGGGTAAGAGTGTGCGTGCGTGTGTGAGTGCACATGCGCGTCCCTCTCCCTCCTCTCCACTGACTACTAGGAGGAGCAGTCCCCTACTCCAAAGTGGTGAGCAGTACACATGAGATTGGTGGGATGTTATTTAACCACTTCATTACTCTCACTTAGTTACTCTTGGGTTACTAGCAATTCATACAGAAGAGAATTTAAAAATCCTGTCTGAAATAGCAGGGTAGAAACCGGAATTTAGGGCAAAGAGCCTGCACCTCGGTGCAGAAAGTGTCTGCCGAGCTGCACAGCCGAGCTGCCCCGAGAGTCCCCAGCAGAGCTCAGCAGCTTTGCAGTGTTTTTTCCCAGCCTCGCCAGAGCGTGGGCCGTGGCTCTCTGTCCTCGTTAGTCCCCTCTCCTTTACAATGCAGCTTTATGTGCTTGCGCTTCTGAGTTTTCACAGTCCCTCTGTGGAGTCAGGAAGGCGATTCCTTGCCACGGTCTCTCTTTGTTACTTTATCTGTGCGGAGGACGAGAAAACAACGTTGTTCTTCATTCCTGCCTCTGCCGCGCAAGCTGCGGTCCAAATTTGCCTCTGCTGAGCGTGTGGCAGGGTGGAGGAAGAGACCAGCACCCCGCGACCTGGGGACCACTGGTCTGTTTGGGTCCTCTGCCTTGCCCACCGGTGGGTCGGGCTGCCGTGCCCCCCGAGCCGTGCTCCGCTCCCGTGCGTGGGTCACCGGCAGCTGCTGAGCGGGTCTGGACTTGTGGGGTGTCGGGTGCTGGAAGCAGCCTAAGCTCATCCTCCTGCTGCTCCTCTCTCCCTGCTTTGCCTCCCCCTCTTGCACCCCCCCCAAATGCTCTGGGGTGATAACCACCCTTCCCCACCACGCCTGACGTGGTTTTTACCTTGCTTTAAAAGAAACAGCTTTTCCCAGATTGATGCTGAGAAATCACCTGAGTTGTGAGCAGCTCAGCAGTTTTAAAGGCTGCTCCAAGGGCGAGGCATTGGCAAACAAAGAAAACAATTTGGCTTTTAATGAGATCGCTCATGGCCCTGCCCAGGTACACCCCATCAGCAGGAGTTTGGGGCCGCTGTGGGTGCCCACGGTGGGCGAGGATGGCAGCTCGGGGGGCTTCGCCTTGGCTAAAGCCCTGATGCCGCCTCAGTTGCCTGCCTGCTCCCAGCCCAGAGCTGGAGGCTTCCTGGGGCTGGGAAGATGGGATCCAGCATCACCTCCTGGCTGCCTGCGAGGCAGAGTGTGACCCTGGACAGCCGTGGGTGGAGACTTTGATCAGTAAATCCTTTTTCTGCTCCGCATCCAATTCTGCTTGCAACTCCCCAGACCCTGTTTGTGCCTGGCCCTTCCTTTTGAGACGCCAGAACATCTGGGATAAAACCAGGGCAGTGCTGGAGTGGCCTTGGGGAAAAAATGCAGGAGCTGTAGGGGGGCTACTTAACTGGGAATTTTGAGGCAAAACACCCCGTCCTGTCAACCCAGGGTGATGTGGAAAAAAAAGAAATTAGGAAAAATGAGGTAAAACCCTGACCACTGGGACAGAACGAGCTGTTACTGGTTTTCTGAACGTTGCTCCCCCAAGATGTACAGTGCTGCACTTCGGTTCATGTTGTGGCTAACAGTGTTGCACATTGAGTTTATTTTAGAGCTGCCGGTAATTAAAATGGCCACATGCTGTGCCCCCCGTCCCCTTGGCACATCTACAGGGATGCTGCTGCCGGCTCCTGGCAGCGTCTGCCTGCAGATGTGCTGAGTTAAGTAAAATCCACGGAATTTTTTTGCAATGGCTTTTCCGCTGCCCTTGCAGGATTTTTTTTTCTCCCTGTGCATCACCAAGCTCGACCCGGGCAGCGCTTGTACCTCGTGTGGAGCCTGGCCGGGTGGCCGCAATGCCCGAAATTATTATTTAAGGGTCTCACAACAGAAATAGTCCTTGTAGGGCTGAGATCGTGGGGTCCGTGGGCCTCTCGGTACAAGTTGCTGGGGACGGAGATGCTCCCGGTGAGCTGAGAGATGGATAGACAAGGGACAAACAGGCTCTTTCAAGGGGACTCGTGCTAAATTTTGGAGGGATGCAGAGGGAGCGCAGGGGATGGAGCTGTGGGAGAGGGAATAGGGGGGCCGGGGGAGCCCGTGGCTGGGCCGTGCCGTCTCCTGCGAGTGCCCTCGGCTTTCTTCTCGCAGATAAGGATGTTTCACCCAAATGCGATTACGCTGCTGCTTCCGCAGATTTTCCACATCTGCAGCCGACCCCTGTGCTGGTACCGGCAGGCAGCGGTTTTCACTGCGGCGTCGTGAGTTCGTAGCTAGCAGGAGGAGTGGGAAATGGGTTTAGATAAAGCCGAAGAGGGTAAAAGGGAGAGCGTGGGAGCGGGCCAGCCCCGAGCAGCTGGGGGGTTGCAGGGAAGAGGGGTCCTGGCGTGGTGGGGTGGGAGGGACCTCGCTGAGCCCCTTGCTGGGAAACCCAGGGGTAAAAATAACCTCCCCAAAATAGCCGGGTGCCGCGGCCGTCCCCACCTGTCACCGCACGGCTGGTCACGGCTGTGCCAAAACGAGAGACGTCTTCCCATCCCCCAGCTGGGGAAACTGAGGCAGGGGAAGGAGCGTTGGGACTCTGTGTCCCCCCCCACACTGACTGGTGCTGCTCAGGGGATGGACTGGTCCCAGTGGGACCCTTGGGGTGGGGGTTTGCGTTCACCCACCTCTCGCGGGGCCCACACCGAGGGGTGCCGCAGGGTTCACCCTGCGTGTAGCTCAGCCCCCGCAAGACACCCCCCCCCGTTTTCCCACCTTGGAGGCGATGGTAGCCCCCCAGGCCTGACCCTGGCATCACGGGGAGGGGCTGCGGCTGCACCCAGGGGCTCCCCAGCACCTCCCC